ACTCTGGTGACGGTGTCTCTCACACAGTCCCCATCTATGAAGGTACGAGACAACACTCTAAAAACTATCAAAGCTTAAAACTGTATAATATTTAATTTACTACAAAAACACACACTGAATTCGATATTAGAGATTTTTAGTGTCTTCTGCTCACATGGAAACCTTTCCTTTTCACCTACACACAGACAAGTCCGCACCAATCACAAGTTCAAAATAAAACACCCTGCATTTAACATACGTATTCCTGTAATAGCAACCTAAACATAAAAACACAATTTTGAAAACTTAAACGCCCACTTTGAATAGCAGATTAAGAGAAAACCAAATCACGAATACAAGTTATTATTGAGGAACAACATTATTGGTTGGGGAAGAACTTCAACCGAATTTTTCGCTGTAGACTGCAACAGTATTTTATTACGTTGGGAATTTAAAATTACAACTATCCTTAAAGAAACAACCATGTGATCAAGGACTGTTTTGATCACGATGTCATATGTTACTTCAGTGTATAACCAATGCTAATGTTTGTTCTTCTTACTCCAGGTTACGCTCTGCCCCACGCCATCCTCCGTCTGGACTTGGCTGGCCGAGACTTGACCGACTACCTCATGAAGATCCTGACTGAGCGTGGTTACTCTTTCACAACCACTGGTACGTATATTCTATTAAAACAATCGGGAAACTAATTAAACCACAAGTAATGAAATCAATTATGACAAAAATATGAATTTAACACAATATAACACGAACTTTGAACGATATAGCTGCATCTAAAGAAAACGAAACCTTAAAACGATAACATTAAAAGTCAAAATGTAAAGATAAATAATTTATAATAAAATTCTCAGGAACTTTGAAATTTGAAATTAACATAAAATTCAACACGAATTTTGAACGATAGTATGTGTTGACATTAACGGCATCTATTGAAAATTAAACCTAATCCTGTGCAACCTTCAACGTTAAAATGTTAAGCTAAATACTTTGGTAATTAAATAAATTAATATTTTAATAAACCCCGCCTCTAGAGACCTGCTGGATTTGTTTAAGATAAAAAGTATTAAAAAGAGTATTTTGGCTCGTACGTGAAGTTTTAATTCGTTTCTAAAGATTCAAAATTTGAAATAATTAGACCTAAGAGCCGAAAATCAAAAAAGAGGTAATTGTTTGTTAATTTAATTTTATAGCTAAAATTCACAATTCCTTACGACCCATTCTAGATGCGAGTTTAAAACGTTTAAGTTAACAAACCAACTCCTCCTAGTCGGACGATTTTAGTCAGTTACAAGCACTCTGTTTTTTTACCATCAACTCTGACCAATTAACTAACCACCGTTTTTCTACCCCAACAGCTGAGCGAGAAATCGTCCGTGACATCAAGGAGAAGCTGTGCTACGTCGCCCTGGACTTTGAGCAGGAAATGGCCACCGCCGCCGCCTCCACCTCCCTGGAGAAGTCATACGAGTTGCCCGACGGTCAGGTCATCACCATCGGTAACGAGAGGTTCAGGTGTCCCGAGGCCCTCTTCCAGCCTTCCTTCCTGGGTATGGAATCTTGCGGTATCCACGAGACCGTCTACAACTCCATCATGAAGTGCGACGTCGACATCCGTAAGGACCTGTACGCCAACACTGTCCTGTCCGGTGGTACCACCATGTACCCCGGTATTGCTGACAGGATGCAGAAGGAAATCACTGCCCTGGCGCCCTCAACCATCAAGATCAAGATCATCGCTCCCCCTGAGAGGAAATACTCCGTATGGATCGGTGGATCCATCCTGGCCTCTCTGTCCACCTTCCAACAGATGTGGATCTCCAAGCAAGAATACGACGAGTCCGGCCCTGGCATTGTACACAGGAAATGCTTCTAAGCCGTTAAACCACCGAAACACCACCGTCTTCCTGTACAAATCTATAACATCGATTCTGACAAGAGTTATACGGTCGTTATTTTTTCTGTGAAAAGGACTGCTTGTGCGAGAATACAGGGATGTACATACGTTCGAGATTGTTTCTCTACTGTTTATATTACGATCATTTGTAAACGTATATTTTAATAAATTTAAATCTTGCTTGACAAGCTTTCGTTTTTACCAAGGTCTTTTTATTGATTCCACCAAACCTATTAGGGTACTCGTTTTGGATTAATGAAACAGTTGGTTTAAAATGTAACCGTTTAATCAATAAACGGCTCAGTTCTTGGAAATAGTTCTTATTTTATTACAAACGAGTACAATTCGAATCTTTGGTACAAGAAATGTTAAACTTACAAAACTACAATTTATTGTCAAATAAATAAATATTGGAATTAATACTACCTATTAATTTTAAGGTAATTTCAGGTAATTAACTACCTATACAACGAAGAAAGAGTAATGAATGGTGAATTTTATCAATTTCAATCAATCTAATCAATTATTTAAGATGGGGACGCCATTAGGTGTGTATTTTCAATAATGTATTAGACCATTTAAAGTTTAACTTGGTTCAATATCCAAAGTTTCTTTTTTAAATAATAAAGGGGAAAAGTTAACCAGCCATAAATAACAATGATAAGTGTTAACAAATATTAAAATATAGTTAAAAACAATTCTGTCGCCAAACCATAGCAATGGTATGGTAATGTGATAGGCTATTCCATAGACGATTTGACCCATATAATTACCTCCAATTTTACGGAGAAGTGTACCTACCTTCGATTTAAAGTTTTTTAAGTGATTAGTCCAGTACCTAACAATCCATCTTAATTATTAATCTTGGCCCTCGGCCGAATCCCGAATCAGTAAATTACAGTACGGTCCACACACAAGAGTCTGCAGTTGAGGGAGGAGCCTATTTACCATGTGACTTCGAAGGAGCCAATGAGGCTGCACGTTGTTGCCAAATATAATAATACCAGCTGATTTGAAAACATTTATTATAGTGTCGTCAACAGGCGATATGGCAACCACACCAGCCCTGTCTTGTGATTGGCTGACGCCAACTGCAGACTCTCGTGGACCCTAGTATAGTTAGCGATCAACAGAAATTCGATGATTCAAATATCCCAGCTTCTTAATAAAGATTTGTCTTGTACAATCTTGGGAATAGAACGAAATTATGTTGGTAAATAGATTTTACCAAAACCATTCGTACGTCCATCGTCCATGAACCAATTATTAATTAATAACCTTTTTATGTAATAGGTAATTTGCAGTTTTTTGGAAGCTCTTTGCCAAATTTATTAAAAGCAGTTATTCAATTACCATCGTAATTAGATCTGAAATAAATATTGTCGTTGTTTCTGAATTAATAGTAAAACGAAGAAAATTCAATATAATTTTATCATTCAAAGAATATTTTGTAAGTTGTAAGATTTAGGTTTGTTTAAGACTGGAGGTGAACAAAATTAATAACTTACGTTGATATTAGATACAACATCAAGGAGTGATTTACCTACCAAAATCAGGGTACAGCTTATTAAACAAAGCCTCAAGTCTATTTTAAATCCATGTCCATAAACTGAGTTGTCTCTTGTTAGAATCTGACTGTCGTTTAACTCTGGGTAAAACCTTAAAACATTCAACTGACGTACATCATGTTTAATTCATGGTCAACATCACTGGATCTTTGCAAGTGAACTCTAGGAATGGAGTAAACGCAAATAAGGGGGCGAAGCCCTAAAGGAAATCGCCTTCTTCGTTGCCACGTGTCCCTCCCCTGGACCATGCTTTAAAAGGGACATCTCAATCTCAATTGTAAGAATTAGAGTTATAAGTAAGGCGGCTAAAAAGGAATTTTACAGAGAAAACCTTTATTTTAGTGTACCACACGTATAGATCATAAACTACTGTACATTTGATTGGCTTTTGGTATAAACACACCTGCGCGGCACGCGCGCCGCGCCTTGACGATCTCGTGTGTTTCTTCGCATTGGCATTACTTAAGTCATATTTGTTTTAACGCGTCATAACGTGCCGCGTCCTGTGTGTTGTACTCTGAAGGACAATTAAACATATTAATACACACTTATTTGCCGAAATCAATAAATTATGATGTTTTCTTTAACATTGTAAAATAGGGAGTAATTTAAGCGTATACCTTTCTTATACAAAAGAAATTTTTCGTCATACTGCAGCAAAAATGGCCGTTTTTAATGCATTCGTTGTGGGTTTAAAGTAGTATTTTTATAATTTTAGTCTCTAGGCAGTAAAAATTAGCTGTTGTATAAATTTGTAAATTGAGATTGTGACAATCGTATCGATAGAAATTATTTATCGATTGATTTATTGGTACAAGGTTTTAGCAAATTATTGTCGATTACTCGATATATCGATGGTATAATATTGTACTGTAGCACAACCGTAATAGACGAAATGATTGAATAAATTACTAAACAGCTGCTTTATTTAAATTAGCAGAATTGAAAAAAAAATTGGAAGTCGTTTTGAGAAGTTATGTTGTCTTTACAGAAATTATTTAGTTTTCTATAGCTTTGTTTGTTAATTAATGATGCAATATGACGAAAAATATAGTTCACCAAACGGGCAAAAAATGACTTTTTAACCCCGCTTATTTTCCGACCTCGGCTTCGCCTCGATCGTAAAACTTGTTCTCGGGTCAAGAAGGGTCACTTTTAGGCCCTAGTGATAAAAATATACTGTTATTAAGATGTATAAATTGGATTTTTCACATACACTATTTTAGTTTTACGCAGATTTCTAAGGTCAGATAATTTTGTACTTTTGGTGGTTTTATCCAAGATACACTGCATATACACTATTTTTTTCAAAGAACTATTTTATGAAAAATATACAATATGGAACAAACAGTCTAATCAAACGTTAACTTTATCCCATGAATGTATGTATGACAATACGTATGACGAAGGAAAACGTACTTTTCGCTACTCGTCTGGCGTACATTTTCAATCCGCTCCAATTAACCGCTGTGAAGACGAAATGATTATCCTTGCTCCCGCCTTTTAATGTTCTGCTAGTGCTAGTTGCAGAGTTGCAGTGTGAGTGTAGTCGCGTAGTCTGTATAATCTTATCTAATCTGTCTTTTCTCGTTCTCTTCAGTTTAGACAATTTTTTACTAGTTACTTGCTTTATTTTGTTTACGTACACTTCGATTCGAGTTCGAATTCTACTTTCAAGTTTAATAAATCACACATCACATCACCGAACTAAATCTATTTCGCTGAGGTACGATGATTCATAATATCCCTAATCTAATATTATTTAACGAAGAATCTCCCTGAAACTTCTACTAACTAATTAAGTAGACCTAACTTAACTTTCCTTCAGGTATTTTTAAGTGCGACCATTATGATAGGCCTAAACTTATCTTTGTAATATATTAGACTTAGTTGTTCCAATATATCTAGCCTTATACTCTTTTCTAAGAATTTTACACAGTTTTCCTAAACTTGTAAGAAGAAATTAAAATATTACTTAGGCCTAGCTGTAGAATTAAAGCTTGTAACTTAATAATAAACAATCAATCGATAGGTTATTGAGCTCAGTAGCCTAGATGAAAAATACCTGTAGATTTAATTTGACACTTTTAGCCCGTGGGGTTCAGAATGGTTCCTAGTTTCTATAAACTATTCTATAATGTACCCTAACAAAATTTAGCTGTCCACCTGATGGTGGCGATGATGAAAGGGGGCAGTAAGTTAGTGTAACACAATTTAGCAGACCTCGGCAAAATTTACCATAGTTAAGGAACACAAATAGGTAACTTAGTTTAATAAAAACACAAGTTAAGTTAGGAATTTTTACAACAAACTCAAACTCAAATAAGTTATGGGACAGTTCCATGCCTTGACAGAGTAGGAATGTGATCCTTGTTAGGCCTATGTCATATTCTTGTTTGTTTCTCAACAAGTTGCTCTAGTTGTTATTATAATTTATTTGTTTACTTTGTGAGTGCCATAACCATTACAATATTTTTTTAGGAGAGTTTTCAGCTTTGATTGCGGAACAATGAGCATAAGCTGGACTAAAACAACAGATGCAATATCAACTTTGGAAAACAAACTCAAATGTTTTGTCTGGTGAGTTGATCCTTACAATAAGGGTTTTCTATGTTACATCCCAATAATTTCACTCATCCCTTTTAACCAATTCTTACGATCGAGGTGTCAATTTAAAGCTTATGATCCAGTGCAGGGACCTAGGTATGCCTTGTTTCCCGTTAGTTTCTCTCCCCCCTGCATTTGATTATTTTTACTTTATTCTAGGTTCCGTGCCAAAACAGACAAAAAAAATTGTATGCTGATTACCTCCTTGTGATTACCTGATTACCTTAGTGAAATTTTTGAAAAGAGTTTTCAACTGTGAAAATGTGCAATTTGCCAATGGGCTCCCTCGAAAAATTTATTATTCTTTTGGTAGGCCTATAGTTATATGCTATGGATGTTATATCCATCTCAAACCTCAGGTTAAAGTGAAGCAATCTTAAAATGTTTGCTTAACATTTTTGTAGGCCTACGTACAGGCCTTAACAATTAAAACTCATACTTTATCACAGGAATCTTAAAAAAAAAAAATAATTGGTTATTGTATATATAATGAAATGATAAGTAAAAAGATCCAAATACAGGCATTTTTGGGCCGTGGTCAGAATATATAAAACCCAGGAAAGTTTGAGCTGGTACAGTAGGACTGCAATAGTAACCAGTAGCCTACTAATACATCAATTTAATCTTAAAAATGTTATTAAAGGATAGCCAATCAACTAACTTGGATTGAGCTGTGTTTCACAGACTAACTTGGAAATAGGGATGGAAAAATTCTAATCAATTTCCTTGATAGTTAACCTTATTCGTGACTTAGATCCAGTAGGCCTACCGTTCCCATAAATTGCTACGATTCTGTGGAAAAATTAGGAATTTCTTACTTCGCAAACTTTGCATTAGAGTTTGCATGATCGGGTTCTGGCGGTTGTCAACTGTGGTATCGCTGCCATATTTTACTGCGCCACTTACCTGAGTCTTTTACGGGCCACTGTGATGCCGCTAAAATTTTGCCTGTATGCTACTGACCACCGGGGATAAAGTGAGGGCCAACGTAAACTAGTGTAGTTTACGTTGGCCCCGCTAAAGTTCCCTAACCCTATAAACAACAAAAGCATATGTTATGAAAAAAAAAACACGTTTCTTGTTTGAGTTTGGACCCTGTATACACAAACACCCCCAATATTACTGCAATATACGTTCTTAGCAATATTACTGAAAACGTATTGACCCTACTCATCCATAGTACAAAACCTATAGGCCTATTTCCTTAATGAATTGTTGTTGTTATTTAGCGAGAAACTCCCAGTTGATCCTCAGCTGTTGTGGTGCAAACACTCGTTCTGTGCGTCTTGTGTTGAAGTCAGTGCGAGATGCCCGAAATGCCATTTTCCAACTTCACCTCAAGATATGGCCCCAGACTTAATGCTCAACAAACTGTTGTTAGCCATCAGAGTAGCCTCTCAGGTATCAAAATGGTATGAAATATAAAATGATATATCTATATCTATAAAAGAGGAACTATGTATGTGTGTGTCCGAAACCGCTCGACAGATTGTAATGAAACTTTCAGGCATTATTAAGCATCTTTCAAGGATGGTTCGAGTGAAGTTTGGTGCAGATCTGTCAAAAGGGCTCTGCCACAGAGGGTTTTAAGTGGGCCAATGTCAGACTTTTTGATCTACAGTGTTTACTAATAAATATAATTTAGAAGCAGATGTTTACTTTCACCAACTGTTTTGTACGTTTGAATAATTACAACATTCTGTATTAGCATTAGTCATGATTTGAAATAGTGCCACAGTGTTTCTACAGAGTGCAGCACAGAAAACTATTTTACTTTTGAATAAGTCCAAATGTAGCCTATTATACCCCAATCGCAGCACACCTGTGCACTTAACAACGTTTAAATTCTCCAATGTTAAATATTAAAACATAAAAACCTGTATCAAAGTATTATAAACAATAAAAGGGATGACTTTTTAAAATTTATGACAACAGCTAATTTGCAACCAAAAGGTGAGTGAGCGTAGCGAACGAACATCAATCTGGAGGCGAGTTAGCGTAGCGAACGAGCTAACCTGAAACAAGTGAGCGCAGGGAACTAGCCTAAAGGTGAGTGAGCGTAGCGAACAAACTTCAACCGGGACGTGATTGAGCCATGCGAATACTTATGAAGTTAAACGGGGCAAAGCCCGTGAGTACAGCTAGTTTGTTGTATAAATTAAGTATAGTTGTAATTTTTTGTTAATAAACCTATGAAACATTAATTTTTTTAAATTTATATTTTAAAATAGATTTTAGATGTAGCCTACCAAAGAGCTTGAAGGCCTTAGTTTTAAGGATTTTTTGTTAGGATCAATCTGAGGTGAGTGGGAAAGAGTCCAGTTTATCACAATAAAAAAAAACTTTTTACTGTAAAAAAATGAATATATTGTCAATGACAGCCTTCTTGGTTGTAATTAGGACTACTGTCAGTAACAGTTGATTGTTCTAATTTTTGAGTAGTGTAAAGTTGTTGTGTTTCTTGTAACACAGTGGTTCCCTTCCCACTTTTTTTTTACGGGACTAGTTTACAAAAACCGAATACAGATTACGATTACTGTAAATTAGAGTGAAAACCAAAGTGTGAGTTGACCAAAGAGTAAGCTCACTAGTTATATAGAACAATATAATATATAAACATAATTTTACAGCAGCGAAAAACAAGTTGCAGAAATTTCTTCATCCAAGTCAAAACCGGACATCCATAATGCTCTGGATAAAAATGAAAAAACTGAAGAAAAAATTAAAAATTGTACAAGAACCACGACGAGAAAAAGTGGTGAAACAAAACATAAAATACCTGTTGACAAGCAGAGTGACCCGATGAAAACTGAGGAAATAAAGACAAGTTCATCTTTGAGGAGAAGTAGCAGAAGCGGTAGTAGGAGTAGTTCCCCTCGCAGAGCAAAACACGCAAGTATGTCACCACCAAATGAAAACCAAGATAAGAAAATCTCAAAAATGAAAAACCAGTTCTCTTCTCCAAAACCTACAGTCAAGAAAGTGAATGTGACATCAACTCCAAAGCCTAAGTCAGCTCCCAAAAGCAGCACTCCGATTTTGTTTTCAGCTAAAAAAGCTCACAATCCCAATAAAGTGAATTCTAGAGGGGAGACACCACTTCAGATTGCATGTAGACAGGTGAGATTTCCGTGATTTACTTTGTATTGCATAATCTTAGAGTTTATGATATGGGCACACAAGTTACTGCTGTCCATGTTCATTAATTTTATATGCAAGCTTTCAAAATTGACAAACGCTTTTTAAAGAAACAAAAGTAACCTCAAGAATCTCCTTACTCTATTAGATCTTGTATATTCTTAGCTTTTATTTTACAGATTAACTTAAATGGTACAAAAAATCAAAACTCCATGAACTTTTTGACAAACATTCTTATGATATGTTTAAATAAAAAATATTAAATTAAGTTTGCTCAATCTAAAGATCAACTTTTAAACAATATTTTTCAGAGGTTGTTTTGTACATTATTTTTTAAAGTTATGGTTTTATTTCCAGGGTAAATTTAGTGTGGTACAGCAGTTGCTTAAAGACGGAGCCCAACCTAATGTCAAAGACTACGCTAACTGGACTCCTTTGGTATGCATTATGTAATTTTTAGTAGATTTATTTTATATATTAATAAATACTAGTGTACATGTTGCTCGAAATCGAGCAATTTCAAAGAAGTACAGGAGTTATTTATAAACCAATTACTTGTTTAAAAACTAATAACAGTCATAATTTCCAATGATTTTAAAAGAGTCAACTAAAAGATTATTAACCAATGGAAATACTCACAATTTACATAACAGTCCTATTCCAGTTTAATGGGTTAATTTTTTACAATTAAACTGCCCATGGACGGGATAAGGTAAGCTTACAATTTAATTCAACGTAAAAAGGCTGTCAGCTTTTATAAAGTACCGTACCTAAGTTATTTAGCCAATTTGTAGATAATAAGGAAGGTGTAGGAATATTTAATTTCTGACAACAGCTGGAGTTTCAAAACAATCTTTGTTTCCCATGTTAATCTTATGGAGAAATACGAAACTTTAAAGGGCCCCGGGTCCTCACTCTCTAATTATTTCCCCAAAAAGAAAGTTTCCTGCACAACTTCACGTTACGCTCTTTCCAATGACACCAAAAACATGTCAATCGGTTCAGTAGTTTCAGAGGAGTAATTGTCACAAAAATCCTGCTTGCGTATTAAATAAGTACTAGTATCCCTGTTGCTCGAATTCGAGCAATTGCTAAGTATTACAGGCGTTATTTTAAAACGAATAAGAGTCATAATTTCTGATGACTTTCAAAGATTCGATTCAAAGATTATGGAAATACTCAAGATGTACATAACAGATGGATATAATCAACATTTGATGTAAATATCTTATCATTTTTCAAATGCTGATCTAGTTTTTTAGTGTTTTCTACAAATAGCCTTACTCATAGCCGCATTAGATTGTCCATATAAATTTAAAAAATACATTATTTCTATTTCTTCTTCTTGTTGGTGTTCTATGACTTTCCTATGTTTCCATAGTTTGCAAATCGGCTCTTTAAATGATTACCAAGAAATGCAACACAGTGTTAATTCAGTTTCCCTTTTGTATATCAAATTATCCAGGCTCTCTCGCTTTTTCCCATTGTAATATTTAAGCCCACCCAAATTCAATTAGTAAATATTTCATAGCAGTGGCGTAGATACGGGGGGGGGGGGGGGGATCAGGGGGATATATCCCCCCCCTTCAACCTATAATGGGTAAAAAAATTGTAATAACATTTAAAAAATAATGTTTTAACGTATGCAATGAAATAGTGAATCTTTTTAATTTTACTTCTATATTGTATTAAGCTTGTTTTTCGTAAGTATACTTTCAATATCAATAAACCGTAAATAAACTGCAATGCCAGTGAAAGTAGTATGGCTTTTGCACCGAAACAGAGTACAGACACAAGTCACGGAAGGTCAACAGCCTATCCGCCCCTCCTCCTTCCGCCACCACTTCACCTTTTACACCTACCTGAAATTAATCGTTTTAACGTGAGCAACAAAATAGTTAATCAAATGCCATGCCAATTGTACTAAGCTTGTTTGTTTGTACGTATACTTTCATTATCAATGAATAAATGGAAACAGATAAACTACATGCCGGTAGCAGTGGTGGGGTGGGATATTTGCGCGCCAAACAGACGTGAGTCACCGGACGTTCCGCGTTCAACCGCCCATCGACGACACCCTCCTCCTCTACCCCGTCACCCACACTACGCTTGATCTGTCGTCTGGTGTTAATTATTGTGCCAGTGTGTTTTTATGATTTTCGTATTCCTTGGTGTCTCATGAGTGTTCTGAGTGTCTGTAAAGTAAACTGATCGGGTTTTTCGCCCCAAAAAGAAATATTTGAAGGCGTTAGCTGGTGTGGCAATGGAACAACGAAGTTAAGTGATTTTATTACTCGCCTTTGAAATATTTTTTTTTAAATAGGCCAAGTCACGTTATAGTATATTACGTTACTAGTCCTGAAAATAAGTGTTTACCGGACGAGTGTGGTCGTTCCCGTGCGAGACGAGGTCGAGTACGAGATTACCATACGAGTCCGGTACACACATTTTGGATGAGTTACATACAATAGTTTACGCCATACTACTAAATCTTTACAAATCTTTATATATGACCACCAACTAAAGGACTAAAAATCACTAGTCGTAATCTCTAAGAGAGGTTTTTTTTTTGTTTATCACTCATTGCCACGCAAATACAGTATAATCAGCTGATTGGTCACCGGTAAAACTCATTACAGTACAGTAGTTAGTACGCAAGGAAACCCCATTTGATTAAGCTGGCGGCAAACAGCTGTTTTCTGGACTAAATCCTTGCGTGGGAAGTTCGTCAAAATAGTGTTGTGTGGCGTAAACATATTAATCAAAATATTCAGTGTTAAAGGATAGAGAAACATAACGTTAAATGTTATCATATAACGAAAAGCCTAGCCTAAGTACTTTAAAAATAAATGTAATAAAAAACTAGTCCACCTGCAACGTTAATTGCTTTTTGCAATTAAAGCAAAAAGTTGCAACAAAATTGCATAAAATTCTATTAAGTATTAACACCAGATTTCACTTCATAAACGCTTAAAAAAGGGCCCCCGGACCCCCCTTACTTGATGGGGGGTATTCCATACCCCCCAGACCCCCCGGTGTCCCCCCCCCCATGACAAGAGGCTATCTACGCCACTGTTTCATAGCAAACTATGTATTCAAATTAGCAAACTTATTGACTGTTTACAATAAAAATATAATTCTTCTCACTTTTAATTTCTGACAACAGCTGGAGTTTCATATCAATGTTTGTTTCCCATGTTAATGTTATGGAGAAATACAAAACTTTAAAGGGACCCAGGGCCTCACTCTAATTATTTCCCTAAAAAGAAAGTTTCCTGCACAACTCCACGTTACGCTCTTTCCAATGACACCAAAAACATGTTAATCGGTTCAGTAGTTTCGAAGGAGTAATTGTCACAAAAAACCTGCTTGCGTATTAAATAAGTATAGATAGATTAATAATCTTTTCAGCAAATTTCCCATATGGATAAGCTACTTGTAGGTCTCATACTAAGACTTAGACCCGACTGATTTACCTTTTTATACCCCAGATGTTAAAAACACAATTTCAAATTTATATGCATGTTTCAGTATGATAACTTAAGTAAATACCCCCATCGCAGCAAACCTGCATACTAAGCGAATTTCCATTTACTCGGCTTGATTTCTGCTAAAATATTCCCTATAAAATTTTCAGATTTATTTCCTATTTAAATAACATTAATTTTAGTGAGTAGTTAGGTTTGCTGCTACGGGGAAGATATTGAGGTGTTTTTTTTTATTGAAATATTGATAGCTTAGTATGAAATAAACCAAATTGCCAAATTTGATTAAAATATATCCATAAACAAGCAAACTACAACAGTTTATTTATTCTCCATAAGAATAACATGGGAATTTTAAATTTACAATTTTTTGGAATTTTCTCCGTAACCATTAGGCGCATTATAAAGCTTCAAAACTAAATTATTTGTTTTTTTAAGCTCTACAAAATAGTTTGGAAAGAAATTGCAAAATTTTATGTTTTTCGGGTCAAAAATGGGAAAACTCCATTTTTACCCCATAAAACCCCCCATAAACCCCCGTTCCCATGGTCCGATCATGCTGGTTCGCGAACTAGTTCAAATAAACGTAAGTTTACACGTTTATACGAAATTTCATCAAAATTGGATCATTTTTGCTCGAGTTATCGCGCTAACGGACATATATATAAATATATATATATATATGAATTTGAACGGATGGTGTTTTTGGCCTATGGGGAACTCAAAATGAAAAAGTAAATCGGTCCCGGGTCTAGGTCTTAGGGTAATAGCTTATTCCCTTATGGGAAATTCGCTAAAACTACCCAAATTTAATGACATTCGGAGCGTAAATAAATCTACAATTAATAAGCCTAAAAAATTTTTGGGATTAAGTTCTACACTATTTTGTAGAAGTACTGAGATGTTTTGAATAGGGATTTTATTTTGGTTTGGATTTTTTTGTTTAGAATTCAGTATAGGTATTGAAGTTTTGTATGCTTAATAGTCACAGAATGGTTTGTTTTTTGACCTCTAATATTTTTGTAAAAACCCTATTGCCTTCCCCGTAGTAGCAAACGTAAGTAGCCTACATTTTATTGAGTTTTAGCCTCCTGAACACATTTAAAATACTATTCATTAGTGTAAATACCTGCTTTTATTTGACACAACACCAAATATCACATAAGTGCATGTATGTAGGCCTACACTACACAAATTTTTTTGGAAACCTAAGTAGGCTAGTTGTTCACTCTAATGTCTTTTAGATGTTATTTGTTATATAAATCTGACATGTTCAATGGAATATTTTGGTAAAAATGTTTTCAGATCAGGCAAATGGAAATTCGCTTAGTCTGCAAGTTTGCTGCGGTGGAGTATTTAAAAATGTCTGATCAATTATTGCCTGTTGTTATCACTTGAAATAGACAACTGAACTGATTGAACCTTGCAGGGGCAGTCCGTTACAGCTATGTCCACTTCTAATTTTTCAAATTATTCCTAGAAGTACTTTTTACTTGGTTTGTAAACAGCATAACATATTATAATAAACTATCCAAATAAGCCGTACATTAGGACAAAATGTTAATATCATTATTATGTTTTGTTTAACTTTTTTATGTATCTAGCAGTCCCTCAGATTCCTATTCCTTTTTGAAAAATCCCCAAAATATATTTGATTGCTGACATATTTTTTACTCACAATATGCCATCAAAGATTGATAATTAAATAACTTGTATGTTGTTTACAGTGTGATGCGGTGGGGTCAGGTAGTATTGACGTGGTGAGGACTCTCCTAGAAGCAGGAGCTGCTGTCAATACTCCGGCTAACCTCAACACCTCGGCGTTAGTAGAAGCAGTGATACGCCGAGACCACGCCATGGTCAGGTTACTGATGAGTCACGGCGCAGACGTTCACCAGCGGACTGCTCTCAACAACACAGCACTGTGAGTTACCATTCACTACAGAGGTGTGTGATAACGCTTAGTTTAGGTTTGACCTGAATTTTGAATTACATGAGAATCATGTTGATATAATTGAGCTGGATGTAGATATTATGTTTGATTATGTTGGCACAGTTGGTCTTCTAGTTGTTAGAAGGGAACTTGAGAGTCCTGGAGGATTCAGATCATGCTTATGATCTTTAGGTGATTCATCCTATAGCCCTTAAGACAGGGACGGTCAGGGGCGTCATTTGGGGGGGAGGCAGGCGGGGCATTTGCCCCCCTTGGATCCTGGGCTAGAGAGAAAAATATGCTGTACTAGCCAATAAACAAATATTTTCTCCTGTCAAATCCTAAAAAGCACAGCAGACAAAAATCTGTACATTTTTGTACAGTAATTTGAAACAAAAATTATTATTGTTTTATTGTCTTAGATAGCACATTTTGAGTTTACATAAATTAGTAGTTTTGTTATTCATTTACTTTTTCTGTTTGGTGCTGTACGATAAACCACTTACTTCTAGTTTATATATACAGTATACATAAAAATTCAGATTTTTTAGAAGCATTGCTTTGTCATTTACTTTTATGAATTATTCAAGCATTAAAATTATACATACGTGTATAAATTTTACGTAATTTTTTTTAACATAGTAGACTACCAATTTAATATAATTAAATAAAACCTTTTGTACTTTTGTGTCAAATTATTTTATTGGTGATAAAATTTGATTTGCTTTTAAGTTCTTAAATACTTGTATTTTATTTAAAAAACAAAATAAACTAAAAAACTATAGGCTATGAACAACCGTATTCATTGCTAAATGTTGTACAAGAGAAATTGGTCATGAATCTCATAACAAACATAACATTAATACATCATGGAACTATTGATCACGTTTCTTAGATGACTATCTTACCAACATAAAATTATTGTGTTTCTGTCTGTTGTCAATAATTCTTAGTTTGATTAATTTTCTGCCTAAATTGAAATAAATTTTACTCATAATTGTTTTTTATTTGAAGTGTTTTTGACAATTAAAATAAGCTTAAACCCCTCTTTTTTTTGTTTCAAAACTGCAAAATTTTCTGGGGGAGGACCCCCCTTCGTTCCTGGGGGGTATTCCATACCCCCCATTCCCCCGGTGTTTGCCCCCCCCCCCCCAAGGATTTGGTGAAATGACGCCACTGGGGACGGTGGCGTTGTCCTGTAATCCAGCTACTAGGAGGTCACGAATTGTGGATATTTATAGGCATGCACTGTGGATGCGATACTCCCTGGTGTAGATTAATGTCCACACTAGTGAGTACGACTATCTGCAGTACTATCCTGATAATTTGACCAATTCGTTGATTACAAGGCAAATATGTGGTTTGGATCCCACTGTAGGTCCCTTAGTTGCCATTGGCTGTATGGGCTATTAACAGCTGTGTCTAAGGAATATGTCAGTTAAAGACAAGACTACAAGATCGCGCCACTAATCCTACACTTCATCTCCATTCATACTTGGCTTAAAATACCTACTTACGTATGGTCGCCATTTCAAAGTAAAGTATTAAAGTATGCCAAGGAGATTCTACGACGGCCCTGAAGGGACATTCCAGTTTCTTTTTGTCTTTCATTCACTTCGACTGTAATCTCGAAGTACTTCGACATTATTCTCGAAGTACTTCGACTTAATTCTCAAAGTACTTCGACTTTAATCTCGAAGTACTTCGACTTTATTCTCGAATGTGCTTATTAGCTTGTTAGCTATTAGCTGCTTATTAGCTTATGTGCTTATAGTTTGTTATAATTTTACGGCAACCACAACCCAACTAACTGTTGATTTAGGGGTGTTTCTGATGTAGACATTTTTTTGATAAAAATTGGCAGATAGAAAAAGGTTTGAGCTTTAGGACACATAATGGAATATGACATTAATGAACTGATTGAACAATATTTTAGTTTAGGCCTTCAACAGCCTGAAATACTTGCAATTCTTTTATTGAAGCATAACATTTGCATAAGTTATGCAGTTGTAAGTTATACAGTTATACAGTTGTAAGTTTGGACACTTAAAAGGTATACCAAGAAGCTCGGACTTCATAGAAGGAAACACTTTTCTGATATTGACTCTGTCAAGGATTTTATTAGGTCTGAGTGCGACAGAGACGAGAGACAGTGAGACAGCAGACAGAGAAAGAATTAGAAACAGAATAGAATGAACGTATTCGTATTGAAGTTGAGTTGAAGTAAAACTAGACTAAGATAGAAATGTCGAAGTACTTCGAGAAAAAAGTCGAAGTACTTCGAGAAAAAAAGTCGAAGTACTTCGAGAATAAAGTCGAAGTACTTTGAGAATAATGTCGAAGTACTTCGAGAATAAAGTCGAAGTGAATGAAAGACAAAAAGAAACTGAAATGTCCCTTCAGGGCCGTCGTAAGATTCTGAGCTTACCTCGAGCTGTACGTCCTTCTACCTATATATGAAATATAAGAATAGTCGGATTCAATCTAGTTTACAAGGTTTCAACCTAGGATTAAGAAAAATTGTCCCCTCCTGCAGATCACTAGCGGATGAAGAGACGAGGGCTGTGATGTTGAGTTGCCCCCGTGTGAGGGCCCCGCCACCTCCCAGAGTCCCTGTCACACCTCGGGCGGTTCTTGTAGCAGCAAAACTGTCTCAATCTCAACTAGACGATATCATGGAGCTTTGTCGCAAGTTCAACCTTACCCTCTCTACTAGCTTCACGTAAGAATTATGTGTTGACAATTTTTTTTATGTATTTTATTGTAAGTTTAGTAGTTATTTGATCTTTTGTAGGATTATGGTTCAAATACCAGGCTTAATACTTTCTATCTAATATTGTGAAACTGTTTAAAAATGATAATTTCCTCCTAGGAATTTATCAGTCAAATGACAACTAATTAAAAAAATTGGATGAGTGACGTACAATATTTTGCGCTACATAACAATGTTTAAACAAATTTCCCATGCATTTTTTTAGTCCAGAAAACAGCTGTTTGCCGCCAGGTTAATCAAATGGTGTTTCATTGCGTACTACTGTACTGTTATGAGATTTTACCGCATACCAACCAGCTGATTATATTATATTTGGCAATAAGTGGTTATAAGCAAAACCTTTAGATATAATTAGTGATTGTTAGTCCTTTAGTTGGTGGGAAGGGAATACATAAGGATTTATACAGATTTTTCATTGTTAACACACTCACTCCCAGGTGTCTGGAGACTACATACAGAGGAGTGTGACGGCCGGTACTAAACCTGTTAAGTTAGCTTACAGTAGTATGATAGATTAGGCGGTATAGCACATCTTCCCATTGCGTAGCACGGGTACAGCAGCCAGTATACAATATAAATGTATCATTGGTTTGCTGTGTCAAGGGTATCACCATAAATGATTGTCCATTGTTGTTCAGGGAAGACATAACTCATGTAGTGGTCAACAAGTCTGCCTCCAACTTGTGTGAAGCCTCCCCAGCTGTAATGTTGGCAATCGTGAGTGGCTGCAGTGTCGTGGGGATGGATTGGGTCTCGTCGTGTCTGAAGGCCAACGAGCTGGTAACAGTCGAAGAGTACGAACCTTGCGGCACCACTGACTACCCCTCCTCTAAAGTCTTCTATAAAGCAAGACTCAATAAAGAACAGCTTGTAAGTTCGTCAAGCAATGTTCGTGGCCATATAACTGTCTAATAATTGTTAAACACTTTTACCTACGACCATTATTTAAACCAGCCTTTTCAATTCAGTTCAAATAGAAAAGATTCACTTTGCAGTGTTGTTTACTGTACAGTATTGTTTTGTTAATTTACAATACAAGTTTGAACCAGGTACTGTACTCTCAATGAGCTAAATTACTTGAATTGCCTTCCCTTCATCCCTATTCAGCTTATCAAAAACCAAAACTATTTTTGCACAAGTTTCTATCTCCAGTGGTCTTAAACCAACGCTTTTAAAACCACATTTTAAATTTCTTGTTTTCCCCCTTCCTCTATAGTATTTATATTTAATATGGTGGAAGGTCATTTATAAATATATACCAAAATTACTGTACCTACTATTTTATATTACGAAATTACTGAAATCGCCAAATATTTGAGAGCGTGTAACAAAACAAAACTGTTATCAATTACATTTTGAAGCATGTAGTTTGTAAATGTAACTAGATACATTTATATATTTGCAATTTTTCCAGGGATTCAACAAAAATCAGTAATTTAGATCAGCGCAATGTAGATTTTGATAAAAATTGGCGACAACTTTAACATAAGGATGGAATGCCAAGTTGTACCAATAGCACAGAAAACATACTACTATAACCCAGAACGCCAGCCGCATGGTAAAAAGCATAGTTTAGGCATAGTTTTTTTCATTTTTAGCATAGCAACGCTGGTGGCGCTGCCTACGAATTGACAGGCAAAGCTCTCTCAAAACAATTAATGCTTTTTACCATGCGGTTGGCATTCTGGGTTATAGTAGTATGTTTTCTGTGCCAATAGTTAAATGATGTCTGTAGTGTACATGTCAATATACAGAATTTACAAGTCAAGCGAATGGAAGAAAGTAAATAGCCTAGTTTGCTGATACCGTTCATTACATTTTTTGCAGCTTCCCCGATTGTTTGATGGCTGCCACATGTCGCTGCAGCATGACCAGGTGTGGTCGTCCCAGGTCAAGCAGGACACAGTGTCGCTAGTCATGGCGGGGGGCGCAGTGTACCAACCTCGGCAGTGCGATCCTGAGCGTGTACCGCAGGATGAGGCTACAGTCATGTTCCACGTCGCCCCCGCAGGGCCCCTGGGTGTTGTCAGTCACATCATTCTGTACCAGACAGGGCCCCCCGCTACCGAACCTCTGCTCAAGTACAACATGGCCCATGCTAAGAGCTTGTCACTCCCATGGTTCCATAAGTGTATTCTAACTTTTAGTGTTATTTTGGATTAGATTGAGGTATGAAACCTCGAAACCTGACAAAAACTTTTATTTTTCCATTGTATTCACACGTTTATTGTAAGTTAATTTTGAAACCTTGTGTGCTAGAAGATATTGTTAGTCAAATTGTATTGAGTAACAGAACTATAATTTGCAGAGTACTTGTAGCCTATTGTTTTTCTCAGTAGTTTGAGACTTAATAGTTTGAAATGGAATATTTGTTGGACTCGATCATAAATGTTTTTGTAAAGAAGTCATAACTGTTTTATTCAAACGCCCAATACCTAACTAGTAAATAACGAAACTAGATTAGTAAACTTTTCTTAGATTATATTACCGGTTAAACTCATTTTAAGGAACAAATTCCGGCGCCATAGATTCTGAATTGAGTCAACTAACAGAACTCTATCAGAAAGAGGAAAAAAGTGTAAAAGCTATCAGATCAGGGAAATTAGTTTCTATTTCATAGACAGTTTAGAAAATTATGAAATTATTAAAATCCAAAATGTGTGAGAGGTGTTTTGCTACTATTGATGTAGAATTGTAGTGACTAGTGTTATTTTTTGAAAAGTTGGTTAAACGATCTATTTGTGTAGCAAATATATTGTTTTGTACATGGAGGTTTTGTTTTAACTTAATTTTGTATACACCTTTGTTCTTTTCTGCTGGGTGGGTTGTTAAATTTTTGGGTGTAGGGTTACTTTTGACACAGAGTGTATCCGGCTTTTTTTATGCTTTACTGATTTCCCTTATATTGTGTCTGTGTAATTGATCGAATGATCGGTATGCATTTTGGTTGAGGTTCAGGGTTTTGGTTGGTTGTAGTTATATTATCTTAAATCTGCACTCAAGGGCATATTTTACGTTAATGTTTTTAAACTGAATGAGCTTTAAAAATCAGTTCAACTACCATTGATGCTAAATTTCTATTTAACACAATAGTTGTTAGGAACAGCAGTTAAAATTTTAATCTGATTATTTTCTTTGATCTGTTATACACAATAAAATAATAAGATTTGAAATTATAATTGTTTGATCATTTTTTTTTACTATGAGAAAATAAGCTACATTAAATTGGTTGAAAAACAAGTGTTTAAGTATGTTGAGATGGAGTTATACAGGACACAAAGTAAACACAATTAAGACCATTAATACTATTTATTTTACTCACAATTTATGTCTATTTTGTGACATAATTACATTTAATAACCTTTGAGAGAAATAGAGACTATAACGGTATATGGATTTACCTTATTGCAATAGAACTCGTTAAATACATGCGCTGTAGCACACGCTCGATACTTTCGGGAAGTCATTTAGAGTTCTTGCAATCTGGTTTATCTGATGTTAGAATAACGTAAAAACTGTAGTATATATATTTATTTATATATATTTATATATATTATGTATACATAGCACATCAAATTTTCCTTTTTCATACGGAAAAGTGATCGATTCTCTCCTCGATATGACGCTAAGCGATAAAACATAGAGCTGAAGCCAGCATCCACCCGTGTGTATTGCCCACAGGTTAGAGCCCCGGATAGGCACCTATGAGCAACTGAGCCCCAACCACAGGTAGAGGCTGGCACGTCGTCGGTGGTCCACATCCGGTCAGGAGGACCGACAAGCCACACGGCCCGGCCACACCCACAGTGTAGCCGCGCCCTGACTGCTAGCAGCTTCAATCGAAAATTAGACACAATACATTTAGCAGGAGAGGTATTTTATTTCTATTTAAAATCACCACCGACCGGTTCCTGACGTTTGCTGCCAAGAGGAGCCTTCATTAGTATAACTGGCCTAGCATTCCTTCTCTCAGAACATCCTGCGTGTGCACTAGTGTCCTCTCACTCTCACATCACAGCCGCTGTCTCGTAGGTGACACGACCTCGCTCTGTAGCAGCCAACTCTCAGGGAACAGATCTCCAGCTTCTGACAACTTTTCTTTTTGCGTTCCACGGTCGGTTTCATTGAATGCCAGATTCATAACAAAATAACGATACATACAACATTTTTGTACAATAAAACTAGTAACAAAGACTAAATACAATTCGATAGAACAAAACGAAACTGTCTACTTTTGAGTTTAATATAAACTAACTACGCTTACATAAACAATAAATATGACTAGAACCCGAGTTGACTAGAAGAGTCGGTCTACGCCGACAGAGACTCCTGAGTCGTAATGGAAAAATAAAGTGAGAAACAACACGATCTGACAGATCCGAGACACAAATCATTTCTTGTGTAATGTCACATTCGTGGCATCGGTTTTGGTAAAAAGTACCATACTCTTGTAACGACTCTATCGTTACAGTTTACTCGTTTTCTTAAGAAATACAGTTTCGATAAATTACATTAAAAAAATAAAAACACGTAGTAGTCCTTGGTAGGTGGGAGGTAAGCCCAGCTCAGAAGTTGTTGTGGTTGCTGATGTCGCCATCAGGGGGCAGCACCAGCTGGGTGTGAGGCGCCTGGACCATGAACGGTTCCGTGTTGCGTCTCTTCATCTTGCCTTTCAGTTTCTTCAACATGGTCGCCTGCAGAGGGGAGGGGAACAGGGCCGAGAAAAAAACAAACCACAAATAATAAGTGCAAAAGGAAAGAAAGGAATCAAACAGCTGTGAATAATAAACACCTGAGCATTGTATAAAATCTAAGACCTACGATAGTTAAGCGTGAACGATAATACTGCTAAGAAATACGTGTGAAACAAGCAAAAGAGGGAGGAGTGGGAGGGTTACTCGTCCGTGCTCTTGCCCCCCTCCCCGTTAGCGGGCACGATGTTAGGCTCAGTGTTGCGCCGCTTGATCTTATTTTTCTTCAGCATTGTTGCCTGTGGGTTATGATAACAAGTTAATTGTCATATTTAGTTTTCATTTTAAGCACTATTTGTATTTAAAGGAGTTTTTACTGATGTTTAGGTATCTTTATTAGGCAATAATTTAAATTGCAATATTATAGATTAAGATTAGATGTTGATTTATAAGGTTAAAGCACTGTTGCTTTCATGACTGTTTACAATTGAACATGGTTCTTGAAAGTAATGATATTTAATATTTCATAATAATTGATTTTCTCCTAGCTGACTTAATTTGATACCTGCATTTAAGCCTTTGTGGATGTCACAAATCTATCCTATAGCCCAACTATTTATGCCAAACAAAAGTAAAATTTTAATATTTTAAATTTTGTTATCATTATAGTTACACATATTTCAGGAAGCTTAATACGCATAGCATTGAGTATACAGTAATTACTAAGGAATAAACGTTTGATGATGAGTATCTATGAAACATTAGCCAATTGATTTTAATGATAGGAATTATTCAATGCATTAGTTTAAATTTTGACTGGCAAGACATTGTTTGAAAAGGAATAGCGTTCAGTTAGTTTACCTGAGAATCTTGCAACTTAAATTAAATAAAAATGATTGTGGGGACTACGTTTAAAGATATTGCATTGAATAATTCGTACACCTATTTCTAAAGAAAAAAATTAAAACCAAGCTGATCAATTACAACTAAATGCTTTATATTTCCCTGCGAAAGCACTAGATTCTTATAACGGAGTCCTTCACTTTGTTCATTGAGTAAAAACTTACTTCTATAAAAAATCTACTAAAGCATGTTGTTGTATGGTCGCCATTTCAAAGTAAAGTATTAAGACCTTAAGAGCTAGAATTAGGTGATCTAAAGGCAAGAGAATGTTTCGTACCTTGAGTGCGGACTTGAGTACAACCACGTCGCCTGCACTCTGGACCCACGGCTCTCCGTCTACCTGCACGGGTGTCTCAGAGTTCAAGTGGATCTTTATATGGCCGCCCTGCAACACAACATACAGAGTGTTAACTAAGTATAATAAACTCATCTGGTATCCATGTAACCCAGTACAATTTCAGTAATAAATTAAATTTTTATATCAGTAAGTGCATTTTCAAAATCCCAACAATGATTATAGACCCACTTTTTTTAAAATTCTGTTCTGGTAGATCTTCATTAAACAATTCCATTAGATTTTGAAATCATTCGAGACACAACTAAAATATCTGATTTTTAAAGACAACAGATTGGTAACATTTGACTCTTTTTAGTCGTTTTTGTTTGATTATTAGCCTATGTAGGTAGTCTAGGGTTTAATTTAATTTTTGTAGACCAAAATGTTTCATGATGCTAGGAGGACTTAGTACAGGTACAGAAGCTTGTTGGAGTTACCTGAGCGATGCGCATGGCAGACCGTAGGCCTGACTGTATCTGCCCTAGGTGGACCACACCAGTCACCCCCACCACCTCCAACATGCCGTCCCAGTGGTTGGGTTTGGAGAACTGGTCCTCCTTCTCCGGTCCCCACGGATTGGCCCCTGAACCCCAGCTGTCAACAATCCACAGTTAAACAAGTTATCTTTCAGAATTTACTCCACAGCTAAGACCCACAACTCCTGAGAGGCAGTCTAAATTTCTTAGAAAGCCTGTAACAATATTTTGCCACACTACACAAGCAGCTTTTTTCTGTACTCTTTTTGGACCAGAAGTTTCGTTGTTTACAAAAAGGGTTAAGTCAGCTAGATTACAGTAATTGGCCAGTTTTGCAATAGGCTACAACAATGCTATGCTATCCACGAATCTAACTAATCCTCAGGGCGTATAAACACGTCCACCCCAACAATGAAAATATTGCGTTAATTGAATCACTTGGGTTATTAGCACCGTCATGTAGTGTTGTGAATTTACTAATTAACCTTTTTAGAAGATGCATCACGATAGAGAATGTCAAGAAATTTAACATGAAATAATAGTTAAGTCTAAAAAAAAATGAGCTAAAATCTATTGCGTGATAAACCCAATAACAGGTACAAGTAAGAATACTCCATGTTTTCAAAGTGTTGAAAGGATCCAAAAAGTAGTAAGGTTATGTTAGTCTACATTTCTAAATGATCGTAAAATATTCAGTAGAGCGTCAAAATCCGAACCAATTGGGTAGGTAGTTCAGATTACCAATTTGTTCGGATTTTCAAACATAACCTAAAAATGCCTAATAGACACATAATAAAGCAAACAGTATTAAAAATACAGTTTCTAGGATACAGTAAATGAAACAAAATGGTTTTTGTACTTAGGTATTTTTGGTACAGTACTGTAGTTAATTTCTTGAAAAAATATGTGGAGTTTAATAATTGGAAACGAACAAAACACTGACTGGCTCAGCGTGTTCACTCATTTCCCTGCCGGGCGCCGACTGTTTTGCCCGCGAAATTGTAAAATATCTGTTGTCTCTGTGCTGATTCAATATTTTAAAACCCTCTCAGGAGCGGTGGGATTGTTAACGTTTAGGATTTTCAAAACTAGCTGAGGGTAGTAACGCAAAAAATATCGTACACAGCTCAACCTGTAAGGTGATTACAGTATGAAATTTTCACACTCGGCAAGCCTTGCACGGGGACTATCATGGTCGTACTGTAAACACCTACTTTCCGGCCTTGTAGCGCAATATACTATTTCCGAAGGTAAAAAATCAAAATAAAAAAAATAAAAACCCTACAAGTACAACAAAAACTGTAGCACTTTATGAGGACTGACCTGAGAATGTTGAGGATGATGATGCCTTCGACAGGTGGCAAGTCCACGACTTTGCCGTCCACCTCTAGTCTCACCTCTCTGTGTAGATCCTTGCACATCTTTCGACCCACCATCTTGCGCAGACCCATCTTCACATACACACCTTTGTTGTGCAATCTGAACAGAAAACAATAGGCTGCAATTTTTTTGTTGTGTTTTTACGCCAGTGGAATTTTTTACGTTTTTAAAGGGAACGGTCCAAACCCTGGTCTGACCATCTAATGTCAACCTTTTTGTTAGATAGCAAAATTAATTCATAGCTCGATGACAAATGGCATCTGGGTCTGGAAACGATCTCGCTTGGATTTAAACCAGCGACCTTCAGATTTAAAGGCGAGCACTATAACCACTCTGCCACCCAGACAATTACTTGAGTAAAAGAGAACCATGGGATGATTGCGTGTAAGTTTTACAGAAAAAAATGGCACAGGCATACAAAAAGTTTAAAAAAAATAACCAGTGATTTAAAATATATTAAAATGAAATCCTAATCGTACAATTGAGTAACAAGAAATTCCATGGTAAGCCTGTACGTTTCCCTGTCACTGTCCGTCTGTACTCAAAAGATCTTTATTGGTTTAAGAGTTTAAGGCATCTGAACTGAGCCACACAGTTCATCTACTTCTCACAACTACATACCTCTCTGCTTACCTTCTCCTTTTAGTCTTAAACCTGTGGCTGAGTGGAGGAATATCGCTTTACTTTTATTTTGAGGTGTTTTTACTTACCTAATTGCTAATTTATCATGCTACTGATAATGGATTCAAAACTGAAAAAAAACTGGAGTTTCAATTAAAAAAACTCACAGCCTGAAATAGATTTGACGAAATAGAAACCTAAGTTTAAAATTATATGTGACCTGACCGTTCTGTAGTGTTAATTAAACTTATTTATACTAGCTCCTCCATTCATAAAGATCTTTTGAAAAACTAATCATTTTACCAACCTGCTGTTGAACTTATTTGGATTTTCTTCTCTTGCGTTGTGGAAATCCAGGCACAAGTCAGCATCAATGCCAATACCAAAGTAGTTGTTCATTACAAAGATCTGCGTGTTGTCTTCACTCGTTGACCCAGCTGCAAACAGAAATATTTCAAAAACTCGTATATATCAACATGTATGGAAACGTGAATTGTTAAAACTTGTACACCAAACACAATATATTTGAGAATATCCACGGCAATTCTAGACATTTAATGCATTCTTTGTTTTGCAGTCAGTGGATGGTACTAATTAAAAATAGTCAATGACCAAAAACCATTGTGTATTAGAAAAAATCAAACATGCAAAATGAGACGAAGATTTGGCAGCTCAAAAATAGTCGCTCAGTGTATGAGATAAACATGAGGATCAATATTTACCTTTCTAATAAGTCAGTAGCATAGCCTAGATGATTTAAACCTCTCTAATCCTATTTTTTTAGTGTGGCAGATTGTGTGTAGATATTTATAAATATACAGGGTGTTTTTTTTTTTTAAGTGTGCCACCATTGGGTTCTCAGTAACTAATGATTTTACAGCAAACTTTAAATGGGGAACATTCCCTTGTTTGTAAAGAGGTTAAAAAATAATTAAAAATAAAATTTTTGTAAATGGCCGCCATTTTCCAATATGGCGGTCAACTTTGAAATTTCTTATGGAACACCCTATATTTTATCAAGTTTTCGGATAGAACATGCAATTTAAAAACTTTTATTCTCCACATTTTTTCGATAAACCCACTCGTTTAGGAATTACAGCCTATGGAACAATAACTTCCGGTGTACATTTTACATCATGTAGCTCCTAAACAAGTAGGTTTATAGCGAAAATGCGAAGAGTAAATAAGTCAAATAAGTCTTAAAACTAGTGATGGGCGGATCCAAGAAAATGTCGGTACACCGGATCCGGATCTTGAAAAATTCGGATCTGGATCCAGATACACACTGTCATAAGGGCGGGTTAAAAAAAAACGTAATTAACAGAATGTCAATTTAAATCATACTTTTATTATTTTTTATCACGAAGCATCGGGTGACATTGAAATACTAACGGGATATTTTCGAGACGAGATTATAGGCCATTAGCTTATCATCCAGGTACAAAACTAAAAACTAGAGGTGTGCAGATATCCGAAAAATCGGGTCGGATTCAGTTTGAAAAGATACATGCCATTGCCATATATGTTATTTATTTGTATCAAGAGACAAACACAGAAACATGGCCTTGCCATATAAGTTATTTGCATCAAGAGACGAACCCTGAGACATGGCCTTGCCATATATGTTATTTGCATCAAGAGACGAACCCTGAGACATGGCCTTGCCATATAAGTTATTTGCATCTCGAGACAAACACTGAGACATGGCCTTGCCATATAAGTTATTTGCTTCAAAAGACAAACATTGAGTCATGGCCTTGCTATATAAGTTATTTGCATCAAAAGACAAACACTGAGCCATTGCCTTGCCATATAAGTTATTTGCAACAAGAGACAAACACTGAGTCATGGCCTTGCCATATAAGTTATTTGCATCAAGAGACAAACACTGAGACATGGCCTTGCCATATAAGTTATTTGCATCTAGATACAAACATCGAGACATGGCCTTGCAATATAAGTTGTTTGCATCAAGAGACAAACACTGAGTCATTGCCTTGCCATATAAGTTATTTGCATCAAAAGACAAACACTGAGTCATTGCCTTGCCATATAAGTTATTTGCAACAAGAGACAAACACTGAGTCATGGCCTTGCCAAGTTACCAGTCAGTGATCTGACGGTTTTCTTTGCCGCCCTGTCGAGCGAATGAGTGGCGGAGGGTGGTGGGAATAGGGGCGTTACAAAGCCAACGTGTGAACATTTTTAGTAGCCATGGAGCCGTGGGATAGCTGAGAAACATGTATTTGTAGTAGAAGTGTTTTTAAAAGTGGAAATTCCTGTGTAGCTTAGTACACTTCTCAATATGGGTCCAAGGGGAAAATTCCCAACTCAAAAAAAACATTTTGCTGTGAGTAGGTAACTTAAGAGCTACTAGTATATCATTGAAAAAAGTCAACAGGCTGTCCAATGTCAGCTCGGACACCAGAGAGCGCCGAGAGAGTGAGATACGCTGTGGAAGTTAGTCCTCAGCTGCCTAAACGTAAATAAGCTGCAGCTCTGCACTTGTCTGGCCGCTCAGTAGAAGAGTATTACAATACCATCTGCATTTTCATTCATACAAAATGGCAATCGTGCAACTGCAACAGTTGAAGCCCAGTGGTTATGCAAAGCGCATCTCTTTTTCAGAACAAGTAGTGATGACAAAGTTGTCATTATGAGTGACGAATCACACTTTCAATCACGCCACATAGTCTTTCTCACTCTCTTTAGTTTCACACCACGTAGTCAGATTTTAGTTTCAATGCTGAACTAGTAGCTCTTATGTTACCCACCTACAGCAAAATGGTGTTTCGAGTTGGGACTTTTCTTCATTGGCCCACATTGAAACGTGTACTGAACAGCTACACTGGAATTGCCACTTTTAAAAACACTTCTACTACAAAGTCATGGTGCTCAGCTGTCCCACGGCTCCGTGGCTACTAAAAATGTTCACACGTTGGCTTTGTAATGCCTCTATTCCCACCACCCTACGCCAATCACTCACTTGACAGGGCAGCAAAGAAAACCGTCAGATCATTTTGCCGCTCCCTGTAGATACAAACATCGAGACATGGCCTTGCCATATAAGTTGTTTGCATCAAGAGACAAACACTCGGGGAAAAAACGGTCTTGTACATGGATACAGACAGCTTTGTGTTAGTAAAAAAAATCGGGAAAAAATCGGGGTTGTACAGTGATACAGACTGCTTTGTGTTGGTAAAAAATCGGGGTTTTACAGTGATACAGACAGCTTTGTGTTAGTAAACAAATCGGGGGAAAATCGGTCTCTTACATGGATACAGACAGCTTTATGTTAGTAAACAAATCGGGGTTGTACAGTGATACAGACAGCTTTGTGCTAGTAAAGAAATCGGGGTTGTACAGTGATACAGACAGCTTTGTGTTAGTAAAAAAATCGGGATTGTACAGTGATACACATAGCTTTGTGTTTAGTAAACGAATCGGGGTTGTACAGTGATACAGACTGCTTTGTGTTGGTAAAAAAATCGGGGTTGTACAGTGATACAGACAGCTTTGTGTTAGGAAAGAAATCGGGAAAAAATTTTAAAAAATCGGATCCATCAAAACCAGATCCAGCCCAAGATCCGGAATTTTTTGGATCCGATCCGGTGCCGGTTCTAGCTCGGATCCGGCGGATCCGGTAGTCCGATATCCGGATCCGACCATCACTACTTAAAACTGCATCCACATTCCATAAAGACCATAAAATACACAGTTTTCCACTTTTCAAGTTTGCCACCATTTTGGAAAATGGCCGCCATTTTTTAAATAATAGAATTAATATTTTTAAAGATTTTTATGGTCTTTATGGAATGTGGATGCAATTTTAAGAATTATTTGACTTATTTACTCTTTGCATTTTCGCTATAAACCTACTTGTTTAGGAGCTACAAGATGTAAAATGTACACCGGAAGTCATTGTTCCATAGGCTGTAACTCCTAAACGAGTGGGTTTATCGAAAAAATGTCGAGAATAAAAGTTTTTAAATTGCATGTTCTATCCGAAAACTTGATAAAATATAGGGTGTTCCATATGAATTTGACTAAATCAATTTTAAACGAAAAACACTTCAAATTTCCACCACAGTAAAAATAATACTGATACATTTATGTACAAAAATAATGGAAATAAAGGTTGGTCTTTTTAGAATAAAAAGTAAAAACTTTTTACTTGACAAACTTGCACTCATAACTCACCCGTAGAGTTAGTAGTTTGCATCTTGTCATCCCCCTTGTCCTCCGGGTGGAACACCACCGTCCACCTGTCGAGCCGGATCTCCTCAGCGTCGATGACATCACGCAGCAGGTTCATGGGATCCTCACCCCCAGTGTAGCCCGGACCCCATCGCAGCACACGTGCCAGGTCGTTGCCTGTCCCTAGTGGCACGATGGCACACGGAGGTGACGAACACTCGCTGTCCTGTCCCACGTTGTCCAGACATTGCAACACCCAGCCAATAGTGCCGTCCCCGCCACACACCAGGATCTTGTAGTCCTTGATGTGTCTGAACACGTACAGCCTGAAACAACCAAAAAAATAGATATTTGGCAAACAATCAACATATTTTCATGATTGAAACACTATTTGTACCTGTATGATTGTAAAATCAAACTTTTTTACTGAAAAACTACAGTACTTACTCAGATAATCTTTACCCGTGCGACTGGGACTATGACGGATAACATTTAAGTCCCTTTAAAAATCATTATAATTTGGGATAGAAATAATACAATCTACTGTTATTATTCATTAAATTGACAGGAAAGCAGGCTTACCTTTAAATAAGTACATAGAGACACATAACAAGTACAACACAAAAGCAGAAATTTTTGTGGTCACTGACCACTTTACTGTAGAAAAAAAGTGGTCAGTGACCACGAAAATTTGGCCTGCTTTCCTGTCAATTTCCTTAATAATTCCTGACAAATGCCCTATCTTTTAACCAGACAATCTACTGTTAATACTTTTTGAGCTACGATAAGCAATTTTCCCTCAAGTGAATAGTGTATTAGTTTAATTTTTTTTCAATATCTAATATGTAATGGTTGACAATAATTTAATCTTAAAATCCTATGTATGAAACTTTCAGATGTAATCTCTAATAATATATTTCTGAATTGTATCATAACTATGGATTTTGAAAAGATTATTTTCTGTGGTTAATTGCAGTCATACCCAGGTAGAGGGCCGCCGTTGTCCAGGTCGAACACTTGGTACGGATTGAGCAGTTTGCGGAAACTAGAGATAAGCTCGAGTCCCTGACATCCGCCAGACTTGACATTGACAAACACCAAGAGTGGCTGGACTCCCTGCGGCACCATACTGGGCTCTATGTTGGGAAGCAGCATCACTGCGAGACACATACACATTACAGTTACACTTTTGCCATCATATCGCCATACTGAAATAGAAAATTTACCAAAAAGATTGGTCCACCTAAGCAAAACGCATGGGTAATGTATAAAACAGCAGACAGCTCACCCAACAAATGTTTATCCTCGTACGAAGACTCTCTCAATGTATACAGCGCTCTCACAGCCTTGGCGGAGTCTTCGTACGTGATTACCATCGATCCATACTCGTAATATATAGGCCCGATTGACGAGAACTTGTTTTCTGAAATAAAAAAAACAAGTTAGGATATTTTGTTAAAATAAAGCCGTTTAAGAGGGATAAAAAAGTCTGAATTTCTCCGTGAATACGTAAATTTTTGTTGCATGTCCCCTCATTGGGCGCAAACCACTAGCCTGGTCAATCATTCTAATGTCAGTCGTGGTTATAGTACTCACCTTCAAATCTGAAGGTCGCTGGTTTGATTCCAAGAGAGATAATGGTAATGTAAGGCAGTGTAATGATTAGAGCGCACAACTTTTGTCTTGGGGATTGAGTTTTAAATCCTGACAATTAATATTTGCTATTTGCTCTCTCATAATGTTTTGGTTCAGAGACTACCTCTCGTTCAGGCACCTTCAGTATGAACACTCAGGTTTAAAAACCATACAGTGTGTGTACAAAATAGTAAACTAAAGTACTCAGGCAAACAACTTGTGTAGAATTTACTTGGCTCAATAATAGCTATGTGGACTGACACTACCCCACTGCCTTTGCTTTCCCATTAGTAAACACATAGCTGTTTCCCTGGAATTATACATTGAATTGAAAAATCTTACTATCTTTGGCTAACAACATCACAGTGAAAATTTGTCTGTTATTTTTAAGAAATTCAAGCAGTTTTTCTACTACTTTTCATTTACAAAAGTGACAGCTTTTACCAGTCACTCACCTTTGCCCAGAAACTCAGTGAGTAAGTTCTCGTAGTTGCGTTGTGACAGGTTGGGTGGCAAGTTTCCCACAAACAGCGCCAGGTTGGGGCCGTGAGGGTCCTGTTTCAACTGCAGGTAGTACCTCATCAGCTCCATCTGCCGTATTGAGTCTCTACCAATGGACTTGACGATCTCCCATGGCTTCTCGTCCTTCTGTAGAACTCGCTCGCTCACTGCAACACGGATAATGTAACTGTCGAATCTCAAGTGAGAGATAAATTGGCAAAACTACTGGTCAGTTAATCACTCGTAGGCAAGCATTTTGTATCAGAGATGATTTATAGCAATCACGGAAACATTTGGGATAACTTCTTGCAGTCACTGCAACATCTGTGAACCTGACAGTGTCACAGGATGGAGAGTTTTGACAGCGTAGAACAAAAGCCAATTGTAATATCAGGCAGACATTTTTTGGAAGATTCAGAGATTTATTCCCAGTCATCAAATTCATGTACAATTCCTGGTTCCAAGTCGGCTGGACACCCTGTTCACAGAGTAAATATTGTAATTGTAAGAAATCCACATTAGAAGCCATTATTTTGTAAGAAAATTAATTTTGTGGTTTGGTATTTTTTCCTGAGAAAACTTCTTTGAGTGAGTTGAACACCGAGTACCTAAATGACATATGCTGTTTCGCACCACAGGAAAACATTACTATAGGGCCTATAAGAAATGTACAGAACAACCATGGTTACAAAAAGGAGACCCTAATAAAATTTAGGCTGGTGTGAACAAAATTTAAAATTGCACCCTGCAAAAAACAATTTCAAAACAAATTGTTGCACACTATTTTTTTCTATACCCTGATCATTTTAGCCTCGGCTTTACCTCCTCGGTCCAGCAGGATCTCACTGAGGCGGAACTCCTCTTGCCGCATGTTCTCCAGACCGAAGGCTTTGATAGATTCGTTGATGAGATCCGCCACCGAGGTCTGGTTGTTGACTCGGATAGTACAGAAGGCAGCAGAGACTTGCAGCTTGCCCGGGTAAACTCTCACTTCGCCACAGTCGTTGTCCCTGTCTCTGTGAACACAATGTCCTTGCTGTTACTATAGAGAAAATAATTGTAACTCAAAAATGTCTCCTTACTGTCCACCACTCATGAAGCTTTCTAGTCTTATTCATGCATCCAGTTCAGTTGCAAGACTCACTGTTTAAAAAGAGTAAAGAAATAATCAAATAAAGCATTGATTTTTTGATAATAAAAAATAAAACAATGCAACTAGTTGTGAACATATTGCAAACATGATGATGGACAAGATTTTTGTTTTTAGTTCTTGTAAATAGAAAAGGTTAGTGAAAAATAATAAGTATATACAATTTGTTTGCTACTGTGCAAAACCGTTTCAAGCATAAAATAAATCAAGGATTACATAAATAAACTATATGATTATATCAATTTATATGTAAAATATTTATGTTTCATAATTTTATTTTAATACTAGCTGTAACCCGCGGGCTTTGCCCCGTTTAACTTCTTGATTTTCAAGATTATCTCGTTCGCATGGCTCAATCACGTCCTGGTTGAAGTTTGTTCGCTACGCTCACTCACCTTTAGGGTGGAGCTCGTTCGCTACGCTCACTCACCTTTAGGTTGGAGCTCGTTCGTTGCGCTCACTTGCCTTCCGGTTAGCTCGTTCGCTACGCTAACTCGCCTCCAGGTTGAAGTTCGTTCGCTACGCTCACTCACCTTTTGGTTGCAAATTAGCTGTTGTCATAAATGTAAAAGAAATAATAGTGCTGTGCCCTGTTGGTAATCCTTGTAACTTTAATGCTATTGAACATCATAGAACAGAACCAACTTGTTTAATTGAAACAGCTGTTAAGATTCAATAATTCCATTTCTCATAAGGTTAACATGGGAAACTCCAGAGCCACTGGGGCGGAGCCCGAAAGGATTTTTGAAATAAGAATATGCCTATATGTTAATCGGGAATGTGAGCTATCATCATGCCAAATTTCAGCCCAATCCGACCAGTATTTTTCGAGTTTACTTTTCCCATACACACATACAGCAACCACCTCTTTTTTATAATAGTATAGATAGATAGATAGATTTGTAATATGAATAACAACGAGTTCATATTGATTGAGATGAGAGTAGATTTTACACAGATATAGGAGGGCAAGCAATGGTTTACAAATAGTCGATTTAGCGTTCATAGTTACTAAAACAAGAAGTAAACAGTTGCAAATTAATTGACATGAAAGATGTATTAACTAAAATAGGGGAAACTAAACCTCTTCAAAACTTTTTTTTATTTCCAACAAAGTAATTTTACAAAAAAACTAATAATCTAACAATTAAATATAGAAATTGAAATTATATTAATTTTATTTACAAAAATTACAAATTTAACAATACCTAAAAATATGCTAACTTTAAGAAATAAGATAACACTAAACTAAATGGGTTTGTACAAAACACTTGCCGTACATTAAATTGACATATTAGCAACAATAAATACGGCTCTAAAAGCTACAAAAATATATATTTGTCTAGCATAAATTTTAACAAGCGTGCATTAGGTGAAAATGGATTGAACAAACAAATAAGTTGGAGTCACAAGTACAGCATGTGCATATTAATACCCCAAGCACTACATTATGTAGCAAATTTGAAAATAATAGCTAATAACTTGACAGTTCTACAATGGCTCCACACACTATGAAGTGTGTTTGTATATTTAAACAGTTTTAGCCCTTATCACAAAGGCTGATTGTCTTGACTGAAGTGTTCTGTTGTCAAAGTCAGGCGCTCGCTCTGAGAACTGCATCCTCGGGAAGCCGAACACCCGTGGTACGCAGTTCCCTGGGCGAGCTCTCTGGCTTACATTACAGTTCTTCACGGTTCTATGAGGGCAGTGAAATTTTGAGGGTACTCTTCATTTACATTCACTCACAACTGACAGTTAGTTATCTGGAATGAAAACTAGGAAAGAGTACAAATAATATTCAAAGAAATGTTTTGAAATTAAGGGTTTTTTCAGTCTCAGAATCTTCCAGACCGGTCTACCTGTAGTCACTATGGTAGTGGTTGACTCACCAAATCTACTCCCTCAGTTAAACAGTACAGTACACTCCCGATTAACTGGAGGTTGTTGGGTCCACGACTAACTCGGTTACGAAGAATCTTGAATAACACAGAGGTGGCATAGATTTTGAGGTTAGGGTTACGGTTCTTTATTATGAAGTCACTTGTAAAATGTATCATTAAACAACACATAGCAAATGAAAAATGATAACACGTAGTATTGATACACAACACCCCCCCCCCAAATAATGTAGAATTGTTGTGGGAAAAAATAGCACAACAAACATGTTCAACACTTTTTGTTTAAGTTTGACCTATCTATGACACAATTATTATTTATCTTGACACAATTATATCTACATATAGACATTGTAATGAAGGAGAGACATTGTAATGAAGAAGACTGACACTGCTATTGTTTATGTTCTGCTGACTGCTTGTCCAGTCCAGTTTGCCATTTCCGTCGGTAGCCCGCACACCTAGTACCGTGTAATTTTAATTTTGAAGGTTATTGCGGTTCATTCTAACGCTAAAATAATACTAAATGGTATTATTTTACAGTATATATTTTAGAATACAGTACTTATTCCAAGTACTGTATTCGTTTCAATAAATCACAAATTAATTTCTATTTTTATGTTTCTTTGAATAGAAACTTACTGTAATAAAGTAGGGTGACCCGGGGCAATTCTGGCAGCCAGACGTGAACCTTAACTTTAACTGCTTGTATCGCGGTGAACATATTTTTCATTTTATTTTGACAATTACCATAGTAATTCTATGTTATTCCTCTAGTGTTTTCATATATTTAGACAACAATCTCAAACTCCCCTTAAGGGGGTTTGAGGGTTTTTTTTTTGGAGTGTCAGATGCCAGAATTGCCCCAACCTTGGGGCAATTATAGCAATACCTTATATTTTCCTTATTGTTTAAATTGCTCTGACATTGGGGCAATCATGGCATAGGCCTAATTTAGCTGTTTAAGATGGTGTTTTAATTTTTGTTCTATCTCTATTTATAAGGAAGTTGTGAATAAACCGGTAAGACAGTACAAGCGTACAAGGGCCTTAACCTCAAAACTTCTAGCAACAATAAACAATAAAAATAATCAGGCTGCCATAGAGTAATCTAAGCAAAAGGTGTTTACAAAGCCATCCAAATGAACTGAAATGAAACATATTACACATAACACACGTTGTTATACAATTTATTCTTTAATTTATACATTATTTGTATAAAGATATATAGCTGCCATAATTGCCCCGGGTTCTTTGCCACAATTGCCCCATAGCATATGAAAATGGGGCAATTATAGCACCCATTTAAATTTAAATATCTTAAAGGGATAACTGCTATTACTATTTTTGTTCATGAAGTTTTAAGTCTGAACAATTATCGTTGAGTATAAAAAAAAATAAAATATAAAATTCATAGGGGAAAAAAAATTAGCCGTGTGCGATGTTTCGATATCCTCGGGCTGTGGAAGAAAGTACTTTTTTAATCGCTAATAAAAATTACTGCAAACATTTTATTTTTACAAAAATGCTTTCCTATATATAGGAGGTATATGCTGAAATAACAAATATTGCTTCACTGATCTGTAAAGCTGAAATTTAAAAAAAATATAGGCCATTGCTATAATTGCCCCGTGCCAGAATTGCCCCGAGTCACCCTAAGTTTTTCTACTGAAAATAAAAATATATATTTAGGCAAAAAACTACTTCCTATAACCCGAGGGCTTGGATAATCAGGAGTGTACTGTATGTAAAACTTGTTGATGACTTTTAAACTTAATACATTATTTTATGAAATTAGGACCAAAACTGTTTCTACAACGTTCAAAGTGTTCCATAGACCCTAAAAGCAGGTTGTCTCGCTGCTGAACATGGATGCGGGATTGTGCAAGTGTTTTAGTGCCTGCGTTTTTTCAGGGTACAGCCCCTACCAAAATTGGTTAAGTTAAGTCTATTTACTTAGACCAATGTTAGGCTGGCCAGTGAGTGTGTGATGTCTATTATTATTATATAATATGAGTACAAGTTAGTGTTTGTATGACAGTTTTTTTTTTACATTCACCATCAAACCACCAGAGTAGTTATTTACAAATGTAATACTGTTTAAAAACAATAAACATAATGAGCTTTTTACTTCAACGGCTGAGTGTAACAATTGGCAACGATTTTTACATATTTTGTTTCAGAAATTTGATGACACATAGAAAATACTTTTTTCTCCATACACAAAATTAATTAAGTTTTCCGTTAACTTTGTTGCTGTCAGAACGATCTGTTACAGAATTACAGCTGTTTTGTGCTGCGGAAAAAGAGCATACATTTGGTAGAATGTCTAGCTATTACAATCCTAGATATTTTGAACTAAAGATGTGTTTTTTTTAGGGATGGTCAAGTCTCGAAATTTCGGGAAATTTTAAATCTCGTTACACAAGACGAGATTTCTTTTTGACCGAGATTTTTATCGAGACGAGAATTTAAAAAAAAAAAAAAAAAAAATTAAAAGCGCCTGCAGAAAGTCGATGCAATACCCGCAATACAGGAGCGTGTTGTAGTTGCGTTTCCTTTGCGAAGGCGTTCTTATTTAATTAATTCTATAAATGTAAATATTACTTTAATTATTTTAATAATATTACTTTAATAACATTTGAGAAGTTTTGTTAAGTGTAAGTAGTGTGAGGAATGTTTTATTACTATAAAAAGTCAAAACAAGTAATTATTTTATAAAAATTAATATTGCTTTTATTTTATGATTTATTTTATTTTAGGATAAGTTGAACTCTATCCTAACTGATATCACTATGTTTCTTAATCGTAGGCATTTTTAATAAGTTAGGCGTGATTAATAAAAAAATGTTATGCTGATGTTTTTTAATAAAAGATTGTAAATATTCTTGCCTATTATCATTATTGTTGTATTTAAACAGTCATCTAACAATGTTACAAAATCAGGTAAAAATTTTGAACGTGCATTTCCCGTTGTGTATGAGAAGGGAAATCCCGTCTCGATCTCGTCTCGAAATTTTATGAGAAATAAAAAATCTCGTCTCGTCTCGTCTCGAACTAAAAATTCAATCTCGTCCATCCCTAGTTTTTTTCAAAGCACAAAACAGCTGATAGTTGATTCATATTAAAAATCCTTCTTACAGCCACATAGTTAACATAAACATTTATTTGTTTATTCTAAAATATCTAGAGGCTGGTATCCATGACAAAACTAACGTTTGAACTGACAAAAGCAAATTGTTGAGAGGTCAATAAGCCACAACACATAGCAATGATAGTGACTCACTTAAATCTGAGGAACACTGCCGGCCTCTTTCCCTCCCTTCTGTGAAGATTCATCACAGGACAGGGGTCACACAAAACTGCTTCGTCCGGGGAGTACAAATCTGTTAAATAAAAATTTTCTGCAACAAAAAAAAAACAGAGTTAGTAATTTGTAGACAAAACAATTAATCACAAAATAATAATTTCAATTATACTTGCGAGTGACATCACCAGAACCGATTAAACATAATACAGTAGAGTCCCGCAAACTCGGCATAATGTGGACTGGAAGGGAGCCGAGTCTGTGAAATGCCAGGTTATCGGGAACTAGGGTTAAAAATAAGGACAATACAATTTTTAAGCTTTTCCAGACTGCCGGGATATCTAGTGCCGAGTTTGCGGGACTCTACTGTAAAACAGCAAGTATGACTACAATCATACTTCTAGGTCCATAGGACGCCATCTCTTCAGGAGGCTTATTTTAAGGCTATTATAATTATTGAATGGAACATATGACAGATTTATTATTGAGATCAGCTGTCTCTTTAGTATTCGCTACTGACTCTTTGCAAGATTAACTGGCAACCAATTAATTAGTATAGATACGATAACAACTTACTGAGTTACTGAGCTAGTTGTAACCCAAAACAAATTTCAAAGAACAAGAAGTAAGACTGATAATACTCTATACTTTCTTTAGGTTTGATAGGAGAGAGAGAGAGAGATAGAGAGAGAGAGAGAGAGAGAGAGAGAGAGAGAGAGAGAGAGAGAGGGAGAGAGAGAGAGAGAGAGAGAGATAACTTTAAACTTACTTAGTTTGCTCTTAAGTTACTCACGAGGGTCCTTGGTAATGTGGAAAGCTCTGAGGGCTGTGAGGAGGATATGGTCCGTGCTGGCGAGTCTAGACACTGTCACCACTCGAAATATCCTGCGGCGCACCGAGTTGTTGCCATCGTACACTTTGATCATCTCTGAAACACATCAGAGATTGGCAGGTTTTCTTGAATTTACCCGCCAACATTGGCCACAAGCCTGTCCGTGGACCAAGCAAGGAGTGCACCAGTACAATACAAGATTAACTGTGCTTTAAAAACAGCGGCACTGGAACGCAAATCCAAATCATTGCATTGATTCTACAGTCTGTATACAAATTAAGCACTAAAAAAAAACTATAAATTTTTGCTATCAAACTTCATTGTACTAAACAAATTTAACCACCACATTCAATTGATTTAAGTGAAATGTACTTGAACGCAAATCAATCTGAGTAAAAATAGTTTGATTGTTTTGGTATGTTTTGATGTCAGTACCTTCATCCCTATCACCCTCCTTGTCTTTCCGTTCTTTCCCGTGAGAGATAATCGTCTCATCGTTGTCCTTGTATCTCGTGTCTCCACTGCTGAACTCTTCTGATATACTCCGAGCTGAAACAGAAATCAGCAAAAACTTTTAATATAAGTAACACTACAATGCATAATATTCTTTGGAAGCCTCCAAACAACAGTTTTTTTTAACCTAATAACAGTTTACATGAAAAAGTGCATATAATGTAATTATTATCATGATGCAGGTGTCTGTTAAAAAAAGGCAAACAAACATCGAAGAAAATTACTAAAAACAAATTTCAGAAGAAATTGTGGTCATTATAGTGTAGAATTTTAAACTCAACAATGTTATGTTTACAGTAAAATTAAGAGTAAATCAAGGGAGCTTTAGTAAAAAATTTCCAGGCAACAAACATACATTTGATTAAACTGTTAAATCAATAGAACTTAAAAATAAATAATGATCTAAATAATGATTGTTAAAAATACAAAAATTAAAAATTTCCAATTTAACTTTTTCTATCATGGTGCTTCCCGATAAAGTATCTATAGGCCTAATTAGAAGAAAATTTAGAAGAACAATTTAGTTAAATGTTTCCATTCTTTTAATTATTTCAAAGAAAACCTTTAAAGGTTATTAGTATATACATCGTTAGAGTCAAAAAATAATAAATACTAAAATACATTATTTTGCATATATTATATTATTTATTTATTTATTTAAAAAAGAAATATGACAGTCAGGAAATAGAAAATACCACATGTAAAAAAATATTTAATTAGAAACCAAAATGAAGTTTTAAATTTTTTCCTAACAAATAAAACCTCACCAATAACTCAATATTAGACTGCAAATAGCAGTGACAAAACTAAAATTTGAGCTGTAACTGAGAGCTGAATTAAACAAACAATATTGTTCTTACCGTGTCAACACAAAAACAATGAAGAAAACGGTTGGCAGAGTGGCAGCAGGCATCAACATCACACACAACAGGACTGGCAAAACAACACAAGACTCATCACATGCTACAATAAGCAACACCAGCAGAAAATAATATACCGTAAAACAATCATAACTAAAAATATCAAACAAAAACTATTGGAATTAGTAGTTTTAGTTAGAAAAATAAGACGAAACTTGTTATTTACTAAGAAAATAAATTTGACAAAAAAAAAAATTATAAGCTTTCTGGAGTTTTGCAACTGTGTTTATAACACTTATTTCTTATCTAAGGCCACAGTAGCTGTAGAATTATAAATTTTAATTTTTTGTCTTATTGTTTTAGTGGGTGTTTACTGCTTTGACGCCCTCAATACAAAATAAGCTGGTTATTTTTGACAATAATCTGAAGAGGGCGAGATAGTCGCGGAAACAATAGCTACTCACCCTTAGGGGAGGATAAGGAATCACTAGACAAAATCTAAAATCAGGGTAAAATAATTTCTTATTTATATAATAAATTGTTTTTAAATTGTACAATTTTATTACATAAAGTTAAAATTCCCAATTGCTGAAAACATTCAGAATAATTTCCTGTAATTTATACCACTAGTCCTGTATAATTTCTAGAAATTCACACTGCCAAAAAATCCTAAAGATTTCTGCAATTAACGCAGTTCCCATTGCGTGGACACGCTATCTAACCAGCACTCTAACCACTGGACTATCTAATTTATTGATGTAACATTGATTCGTACTTAATAAAACGTATATCATGGATTGAAAATAGATTGCAAAACATAAATAATTTTGATTATCTCAAAAACCTTTTTTTGTTTACAAAAATAGTAGTTTGTTGCATGACCAGTTGCAAGAGATCTAAAGAACATATGATAAATTTACAGCTTTTTAAAAATCCAACCAGAAGAGAAATTTAGTTATGAACTCGACTCATGGTCATTTTTTGTCAAATTGAGTAAAAACTATCTGACCAAAAAAGGCTTATATTCTTGAGATTATCTGCTACTCGACAATATTTTAGGTTATATGCAAAACCCAACCAGCTTAATCAGGTTAGCCAAATTATTCAATGAAAGCAGTTTGGCTAACGCCAATATGGGCTATACCTATGAAATAAAAAGCGAGAAATATCTTTAAAAATTAGCCTATAAACTAAAATATGGAGCAGAAAAATTTGTTTTGCAAAACAGAAATAATAAATTTGTGGTCATAGCTGTCAGAGATTGATTGACTACAAAAAATAGAACTGTTTGCATTCGTTTGAATTGCACAAGCAGTCTGTAGGTGTTCATTATTTCCCATCTGTGGTGATTTTTATGAATCAAAGTGTACAACTAAATGTATAACTCAAAGAAACTTGCAAATGTCAAAACATACTGGGAACAGTGCATAACCGGAGATATCTAAAAACGTAAAACTTGGTGTTGTTTGCACACAAAACAGACTAAAATATAACCGTTGCTTAACTGAATAAAAATAAATAACTCATAATTAGGGATGGACGAGACTGAGTTTTAAATTCGAGACAAGATTCTTTTTTCTCATAATAATTAGGGACAAGATTATAGATCTCAAAACTATCGGGGAATTATTCATATGCGCAGTTTTACAATGGTTAATAAATAAAAATAACAATTAAGTATTATTAAAATCAACAACTAAAGTGCAAATGAAAATAAGAAATCTTTAATGTAAAACTGTAACATGCACACCCCAACTTTATCACAACAAATACAGTCTGGTTAAGAGACGAAAGAATTGTAGTACTGTAGATTGTATAGGGGTACATCTGATCTAGGTGATAATGATATCATGGAGATAATGTATATTGAGTTAGAGGTAAAGAAAATTAATAGACAATCGTAATTTAAATTTTTTTATTTTTTAACTTTTTAGATTTTTGTATAACCTTGTCTTTAAAAAGTCTTAGATCAAAACCAATCTTGTTCAAACAATCAAGATTTTTTTAATCTCACAATTTTTCTTTCAATTCCAAGACTCGTCCATCCCTACTCAAAATTATTCTAACAAAAAGTGTAAAATACAACTATTGCAGTTTGATTTTCTGACAAAATCTGTTCTCATAACAGAGTTGTGGCTGACTAACATCCATGCAAATAAGCAACAGGTTTTATAAAATGCTTGGAGATACACATGCAATGTTATCAGGTCATTAATATCTTAGAGAATCCAAACAGAACCAACTAAGAATGCTATAACTTGGTGATTTATGTAGAAGACAGCTTTATATGCTGCAACTTCAAGTATTTCTAACTAAATCTTGTCTGTAATGTCTTAAGAAAAATATAAACTTTATGTTGAAGAAATAGTTATTGTTTTGTATTGCTCTTGGTCCTCCGGATGGATTAGGTATTTTATATTATAGCCATTTAAAGTCTTGTACATGGTATCTTTGACTATTAGTAAAACTAGACATTCCATTCCCTCGTTTAATTTGTAGCCAAATGTAGAATGCCATTTCAGTTTTCAACGCAGCCTATCTGAGCCACCCACAGAGTTCGCCGATTTTAATTAGCCATTTCTATCCAAGCCGAGCTAAAAAGGGTAACTTATTGAGAAATAGCATTCTTATATATATGTCAATTATCAATTATTAAGATGAACGCCATCAAGGTGTGTATTTTAACCCAAAAATAATTGCAGGATGATCTGTATAGATTTGTTGCTGACTAAGAACAGCTGTTTCATACGCCAGGATCATTTAAAGCCCAATGGTCAGGGACAGCTGGGTCCAGTTTTGAACCATCAAAAAGCTAATTTTCCCAGGATCGATCCGGCAACCTTTTGATTGCTAGGCGAGCACTATAACCCCTCAGCTAACTAGCCAGTTGTCACTTAAACCACCACAGAGACAAAAACTTAGGCGAAAATAGAGTTACGACTGTGGCACACTCCATGAGTGGCTAATTCTACTATGTTCTTTTTTACAGGGTGTCTAGTTTATTTCCATTATAAAATTCAAGACTAATTCCAGACTTTTCAAGACTAATTCCAGATTTTTCAAGACTAGTTTTTTCAACAATTAGTGGGTGTTGATACCAAAATGTATCGATTCTCGATTCTTGATACCGGTACCAATTTTTATGGCTTAACCAAATTTTCTAAATAATACTACACCAACCACTGTCTTTGTCATAAAGTAGTATTATGATAATGTGGTGTTTTCAAGTAAAGAAATAATGCAGCAATAAAAAATTCTAACTAGCAAATTTGATTTTTTTTATCATGAAATCTTCCACATACCGTACGTTTAGACATCATCATTGACTGCAGCGGTTAAAGAAACGTGATCGTTGTCGTCCCCGATCACGGCAAAATCATGAACATTTCCCGCGGCCTTGTAGACATCAATGACATCATCGTCGTCTCCCGCGGTCTCAGAAACGTCATCGTCCGCGATCGCGGCAAAATCATGAACATTTTCCGCGGCTGTTAAGATATCACCGTCATCTCCCGCGGTCACGGAAACGTTATCGTCGACGTCCGGAATCACGGCAAAATTATGAACACTGCCCGCGGCCGTGTAGACATCATCGTCGTCTCCCGCAGTCACGGAAACGTCATCGTCATCTCCCGCGGTCACGGAAACATCATCGTCGTCGTCCGTGATCGCGTCAAAATCATGAACATTTCCCGTGGCTGTTTAGACATCACCATCGTCTCCCGCTGTCACAGAAACGTCATCGTCGTCTCCCGTGGTCACGGAAACGTTATCGTCCTCTCTTGTGGTTACGGTAACGTTATCGTCGTCCCCAGCGGTCACGGAAAGGTCATCGTCGTCTCCCGCGGTTTCGGAAAAGTCATCGTCGTCGTCCACAATCGCGGCAAAATCGTGAACAGTTCCCGAGGCCGTGTAGACATCATCATCATTGGCTTTCGCGGTTATGTAAACGCAAGACGACGATTGCGGCAAAATAATGAAAATTCCCGACTTTGAAATCAAATTTAAGACTAAATCCCGACTTTTCAAGACCATTTTGAAATTCAATACTAATTCCCGACTTTCCCGACTACTAGACACCCTGTTTTTAACAAAAATTGGCTGCAGATAATCATATTTAGCATGTCTACTTTATCCAACAGTCAATGATGTTATCGGATATACAGATAAATTATCAAAATTCCTTTAAAAAAACAATACACTTTGAGCTACTTTTGACTCACGTGACATGGTTTCCTTGCGGCGGACCTGCACCCCGATGATGGCCTCCATGGGTACCTCGGTGCGGGGGATACTCACGGCGTGGGGGGGAAGGTAGATGGGTTCCAGGTTGCCGAACCTACACTCACTGTTGATGCTCTTATGACACCCAGCGTGACTCTATACAAAAAAGTGTCAAACATGAATACATATGCAAGAGTCCAGTCATTCTAAACCACCTTTTGGGGAAAGGACAGCATTTAAAAAAAAGCTATGTGTCCTGAAATACTAACCTGGGTGTTAAGCCAACTGGGAAAATAACATTTTCAAAAAACAAAAACAAACATTTTTCAAACGAATGGTATTTAATTTGATAAACTAAAATTGAATGGCCACAAGAAAAACATTGGAACTTAAAAAGAAAATATTTAAAGGTTTTGGTAAAATCATTATGAAAACAATTTAGGCCTACCTTTACAACTTTCATCTGAATGAATGAATGTACTACATTTTAGCATTCCAGCTGGTCAGGAAATTGGGAAAACAGTGATGATTAAGTCAAAGATTGAGTACTTTGACTATTATATGTTTAGAAGAATATTGTTTGAAGAGCATAGAATAATATGATCAGGTATATACCTTTACGTCAACAGTTCAATTTTGTAGTAAGTAAACTCGCAACGTTGCGAGTTTACTTACTACAAAATTGAACTGTTGACGTAAAGGTATGTACCTGATCATATTAGTCTAACAAACAGTTCAGGGGCTAAATCATGAATTTTAATGATTTCAATTCTTTATCATACTGTCTGGAAAACAACCTTTTTTATTTCTCTCCACAATCATTGTTTTCGGGTAACCTCAAATAGGGAACAGAAAAAACATATGTGATATTTTTGGTTTGCAAACCTCAAAATTTGTTTATTGCACATTAGATAACGCTACTAATAATACGATATTTTAAGTTATAAACAACAGAGATGGATGACTTTGTATAACCTCAAATTATGTGGTCTAATTTTGTAAGGATTAGAGGGTTATTTCCACAGTACCATGAAAATGGTTGTTCATCACACGAAGCGAGGGAAGATATTGCAAAAATTGGGGAAAAATATCATAGCAGGGTTCAGCATGCGTAAAAAATTTGAAGCCGTAATAGTTAGTAAAAATATATAAAATGTATGTGTTAGCTACGTACCGTGATGCCGCACCACTCACACCGGTAGCTGGCCAAGCACTCGGCTGACCAGCAGGCCTTCTTGCACACTGCACACTTGCTGTTGCTAGGCAGGTTGCCCTCGCGCCAGTGGTGCTGGTGGTGGACCAGAGACAGCTCCTTGCCCGGGATGTACGTCGCATTTTCCTTACAATCAGCCACTGCAAAGTCCTGGCACTCCCCATGCACGAAGTACTCGCAAACTAGACAATGTTACAGTTAAGGTTGTTACTTATTTATTACTGGTGGTTTCTGGGGACATTTCCTAAAAAGCTCATATTTAAAACAAATTATCAAAATATTCAAACAAACTCAGAATCAATATTGATGTGTCTGGATAAATCAACCCTGTGCATCATATCTTTTTTTGTGTAAAAACAGTATCTGTTTATCTCATTGGTGTTACAGTTGAACCTTGTTTGTACGAACCTCGATAAAACAAATTCCTCGATAAGTCAAATTTTTTAAAATCCCCTTGACACTTTCATATAGGTCAATGCTGAAAACACCTCTATACAATGTAGTAATTAAGTTAAAAACCTCCATAAGACGAATTTGTTAGTGACATGGGCTAGGACTGATTAACCTCTATACAACGAATATTCTTAGCACAAAACCTCAACAAGACAAACGTGACCTCTATAAGACAAATTTATCATAATCTTAACCTCCATAGTACGTAGTTTTCAAAACAAACAGACGCTTGTTTCAACATGAAACCCCCACCCATCCCTCCTCCTTCTTCAGTCATCGTTTGGAGAAACCTCTATAAGAAGAATAACAGCAGCATTAATCCTCGATAAAACGACCCTCTTTATTAAGAATACCTCTATAGTACGAATTTTTCCCGTACCCCTTAAAATGCGTCTTATATAGGTTCAACTATATTTTCAATAAATGATTTGAATCACTCTAGAAGCTTAACTCCTGCCTAAAAAGCAAACATATACCATAATTTATTGTGAACAAATACTGGTTTACTAAGGTGGCTTTAGTCTTGTGGTTGTGATAGTAAAAAAACGCTTCCCAGATTGGAATTTAAGACATTGTCTCCGTGAAATATGAAAAGGCATATTAAGATGTGTGAGCACTAATTTATTTATAATTATACGCTTCTTTTACAAAATTAGTGTAAATGCATCCCATTGACCAAGAACTTAATCCTAGATTTGTTTCTGATTACCATAAAAATATAAAGTATAGGTGTAGTATTCCTCCTTAAAATTCTGACTTAACATTCTATTATATCAAAATAGGCCTATAAACGTTCAGAGGGTTCATAGTTTAGACCACCAAATTTGAATAAAATAATTGATTTCAACATTCAATCTAAAACATAACGTAAAAGTCTCAATTAGTAATGTTATCCCTGGTTTTATATACATAGTACATTGCAGAATTTACTGACAAATAAGTTACAATCCAAATGTTAATATTGCGTACTGGCTTAATGATAAATCACTATCAGCTGTATTGAAGTAAACAAAAATCAGCTTTAAATGGCTTCTAATGCACATTTTAAGTTAAATCTAACTTAGTGTTGCTATTAGAAATTAGAAACAGAAAAAAATGTACCAACTATAGATCAGACTTACTTTCGCAATGCGTGGCCAGACTGTCCTCAAGTCTCTTGCGGCAGACATTGCAAAACTTGCGTTTGTGCTGGGTTTGCTCTGACCAGCAATGGGCTACAGGGTTCTGTAAAAAAGAGTAGCGTTATAACTATATACCTCTGACATTGAGGTTGTCACCAAGTGTGCTGCAGCTAATCTAGTGGCTAAGGGGCATGGCTTAACTGTCTAAGAGGTACAGGAGCTACCAGTATCCTCGTAGTCTTCTGGTGAATCAACAACTGCACTTTTTTGTATCTGGGGGTGAATGTAAGAGAGTGTGAATCCTTACAAGGCCCCAGAAAAAACACAATTTTTAACCATAAGGTTCTTTTAATATTACTAAGATTGTTATTCTTTATACAATTTGTAAGCTCGTCTTCTGTTATTTTCTATTATACCTTACATTAACAATTCAACAAGTAGTGGTCAAACTCACAACATATTTAGCCTATTCAGGCATTGTCAAGTGATCTTTGCAGGAATGTTTCACCCAAATTTGATTTGTCAATTAGATATGCACGAAACAACATTAAACATTTAGTGTAGACTACTAACCAGCCATGGTAAAAAAGCCTCGATAACAAGTGTGGAAACTCTTTAAACACTCCCAATTTTCCAAAATTTAAATCTTGCTAAAGCTGTGTTTGGATTTTGGAAAATCATCCAATTAATATTGTTCCAAAAAAATGCCAATACACACTTTATTTACAGCATGAGTATGTGAGCATCTCTCTTATTCCAGATGTAAATTAGGCTAATTTTTGCAACAAAAACAAACTAGGTCTAGTAACTTGCACAGGATATGTAATTTTAATGCTATCCTATATATTAAAAAAGGCAAGCATGTCCCTTGAAAACTTTTTCCCCAGCTTGTGAGCATTGCAGCGAAAATCTAAGCATACTGTTAGAAAGACAGTCACCTGTAGATGTGCAGCATCCCTTTATTAATAAAAATAGGATATCAAATCAAATCAAATCAAATCGTCTTTATTTCATATTGTACATAAATCAGTACATGGAATGGCGTCAAAAACTATATCTAAAATCTATACTATTATAAAAAAGAGGTGGTTGCTGTATGTGTGTATGTGTGTATGGGAAAAGTAAACTCGAAAAATACTGGTCGGATTGGGCTGAAATTTGGCATGATGATAGCTCACATTCCCGATTAACATATAGACATATTCTTATTTCAAAAATCCTTTCGGGCTCCGCCCCAGTGGCTCTGGAGTTTCCCATGTTAACCTTATGAGAAATGGAATTATTGAATCTTAACAGCTGTTTCAATTAAACAAGTTGGTTCTGTTCTATGATGTTCAATAGCATTAAAGTTACAAGGATTACCAACAGGGTGCAGCACTATTATTTCTTTTACATTTATGACAACAGCTAATTTGCAACCAAAAGGTGAGTGAGCGTAGCGAACGAACTTCAACCTGGAGGCGAGTTACCGTAGCGAACGAGCTAACCTGAAGGCAAGTGAGCGCAGCGAACGAGCTCCAACCTAAAGGTGAGTGAGCGTAGCGAACGAGCTCCAACCTAAAGGTGAGTGAGCGTAGCGAACGAGCTCCAACCTAAAGGTGAGTGAGCGTAGCGAACAAACTTCAACCAGGACGTGATTGAGCCATGCGAACGAGATAATCTTGAAAATTAAGAAGTTAAACGGGGCAAAGCCCGCGGGTTACAGCTAGTTTAACATAAAGAAATCAAGTCTAATAGAGATAAAAAACACTAATTTAACAGAGGTAGTGACAACAAGTGGTACTTCAAATGTTTTTTAAATTTGAAAAAATAATTTTCTTTCTTAATGTGATCAAGAAGTTTATTATAGAATTTACCTCCTGCATGGGTAGTTTTCTTTTCATATACACTTAGTCTATGGGTAGGTGCTGCAATAGTACCCATATTTCTTGTATTGTAGGATTGGCATTCACCTAATTAGGTAAGTCTGCAAAATTTTGTCTACAATATAAAATTACTTTATATATAGATACATGCTGTATACAGTCATTTTTCCAATTTTTTTGAATTCCTCTTTGACGGTCTCTCTCCATTTAATATCCAATATGATTCTCAATGCTCGTTTTTGTAAAATTAAAAGCCTATACAAATTTCTTTTACTTGTAGCTCCATAGATGCAGATACCAAAATTTATACTTAAATGAATATAAGCAAAATATATCATTTTTAATGTTTTAAGATCACAAAGATTAGATAATTAATTTATACAAAGCATACAAACCAGATGTGACTTTTTTTAGCTATCTGTTCAATATGTAAATCCCAACTTAAATTGTTACTAATTATCAAACCTAAAAATTTGGTGTTAGTTATTGGAGATATTTGAGTTTTATTTATAGTAATTGAGATGGGATTTAATTTATTATTTTTGTTGTTGGTGGCGCTGATTGGCATTAAATTTGTGATTTGATAAAAATAAGGACAACAAATTAAGTTAATTAAAATCAAATATTATAAGGGCCTTGTGGGTTGCCTTGCTGGTGACAAAATAACAATGAAATATAAACAACAAATCAAAACAAATGGAATAAATTCCAATCATATGTTTTATTTACTACAGCGTGGGGTGAAAACCAAAAAGTCTGAACATCAAAAAAATCTCTGTAGAAGACCAATTTTCTAGGAGATATGGACGAGAAGAGGATGTACCGAGCAATTATATAGACGTAACAAAGCCATAACCAAAGGCAGTTTAAAGGTTACACAACAGCTCTAACACGACCATCAGGTGATGTGAATAGATGTCGGACATATGTTCGGCCAAGGTTGGATATCATGATCCGAAAAATACAGAAATATATACGTCTAATAACACTTGCAATAATATTTTTACACTTATACTGTTTACTTACAAGATGGTAAATACATGTAAAAGTTGGTAAGTGGTGATTGATTTCGATTGGACACTCCAATCATCATCAGACCCAATAGGCGAATGAAACATTGGGAATGAAACATCATTCGCCTATTGGGTCTGATGATGATTGGAGTGTCCAATCGAAATCGATCACCACTTACCAACTTTTACATGTATTTACCATCTTGTAAGTAAACAGTATAAGTGTAAATATATTATTGCAAGTGTTATTAGACGTATATATTTCTGTATTTTTCAGGTAATTTAATAACGTGTACAATGATAATCAAGAAGTTATCATGAGGATGGATAATTTAGTGCAGAATAGTAGTTTACGCAACGATTGCGTTAAGCGAGTCTTTACGACACGAGTAGAAAATTTAAGGCACGAGCCTTGGCGAGTGCCTTAAAAACTTCTACGAGTGTCGTAAAGACTATTAACGCGAGTTGCGTACACTACTTTACCTACGACCGTTTTTTAATTACTATTAGTCTGGATTTAATTACTAACAATCACTAATGGTAACTTTTAAGAGAGGTTATGTTTTCGTGTATTGTCATTGCCACTGAAAGTGATGCAACGACTTGTTGTATAATCAGCTGATTTCCTGTAATTACGTGTTTGTTAAACTTCGTTAAATATTACATTGCTAGCAGCATTCTTACCATAAATAATATTGTATCAGGTACAATTCGGCAAATATTTCATTTATTTTTGGACTTCCACCAACTTAATTAAGAATACGCGAGTATCAACATGAACAAGTCGGATCAACAATTAAATTGGTCAACTGATCAGCTGATCAGCTGATTAGTTGACGTTCGAAGCATTACAATTTTAATTCTTTTCTCTCAATACTTGAACCTCATTGGTCCGTTACCTGTGTGGATATGAGAAAACTATGCGGATATGAAATGAAACTATGCGGATATGAAAGTAAACAGCTGTAAAGTGAAACTTTTCAATTCTAAGAACTGGACTGAAATGGCTACTTTAAAAAACGGTCGTAGGTAAAAGTAATTTTGATTTTGCTAATGTAATATGTTACTTTGCATTATAGACCAGAGGTGCACTGTCAATGGAATTGTTGTTCAATCAATTATATCAATTATTTAAAATGGGGGCACCCCTATGTGCACATTTTAACTGAAATGTGAGTGAATGAGTGTAGGATGAGTGGCTTGTAGTCTTGTTAGAGACTAAGGCCGACATGTTCCTTAGACACAGCTGTTAATCAATAGTACATACTTTAATACTTTTCTTTGAAATGGCGACCATACAAAGTAGGTATTAAGCCAAGTATGAATGGAGATGAGTGTATGATGAGTGGCGCAATCTTGTAGTCTTGTTAGTGACTAAGGCCGACATATTCCTTACATACAGCCAATGGCAACTAAGGGACCTACAGTTTAAAGTGGAATCCGAACTACGATTTTTTTCTTGTAATTAACAAACTGGTCTAATTATTAGGATAGTACTGCGGATAGTCGTAGTACTCACTAGTGCGGACGTTAATCCACACCAGGGAGCATCGCATGCACAGTGCGTGCCTACAAATATCCACAATTCGTAACCTCCTAGTAGCTGGATTACAGGACGACGCCACCGTCCTGTTGAAACTTTCTCCCTTTTTAGAGGATAGAATGTAACCATTGACTTTTGTATATTGAAGAAGACATCATCTAAATGGACCAGATGTAACGAAATTTCATTAAATAGAACATAGTGGAGTGAGCCACTCACAGATTGTCCAGTGTCTAAAATTATATTTTCTACTTTTTTTCTTTTTTAAATAGTTGACTTGAGATGGTTGAAAATATGCTTAAGCTTACAATATGTCATCAGTTTGACTTGATTGAACAGTCCGCATATATCCGGGACAAAAATCAGTAATTTTGGCCTACATCAGCGCAATCTGTTGGTTCACTTCAACTGTACTGGCAAAAACTTTAACATGAGTATGGAATCTCTTGTTCTATCAAAGGTCACAAGTACCGAGGAGCACCAAAATATCCCTCTGAGCACCAAGGATTTTTCATTGACACTATTAAGCCTATTTCAATCACGTTTTCCCTTATCACACAAACGTAAAAAATAACTGTGAATCAGTTTTTGATGGACACACCTACAAGTAAGTAAAAGATAGTAAAATAGTAAAAGGCTTGATTTTGGTGTAATCTTTGAAGAATCCACCTTATTTCGTCTTCTGCCTGAGCTCTCTAACATTTATTTTACACGGGTGTCTCCCATGGGGTTGTAAACACCAGACCTAACTAGGACAGGATTCAAACCTTTAATTTATGTGCCATTGATATTACTAAGCTGTTGATCATATAAGGCCTAGGTGGATACGGTCATACCGAGAGGGTGGGGACAATTGGGCCTGTGTGTCACATTACATCCAGGGTATTCTCCGCGCCAAGAAGCTTGACCTTGACCGGGATGCGGTGTAGGTCATAAAGAATCTAAATGTCAGAAACGGTGTGAGCCCTGAGGGCTTAGCCTAGGTCACATTTTGGCTTGACTTGAAGTAATGTGACAAACAATTCCAGGCCTGTGTCCAACAGAGTAGAGGGGTTTTTTTTAGTGAGTAGTCTGCCGCTCCTCTCCCAAAAAAAAAAAAAAAAAAAAAAAAGCTTAGCTGAACGAGGAAAAGTTGGTCTGTCGCCGTGCAAGCAAATCGGCCGCACCAACAGATTTCAAACATGTGGATAAGCATAAGAGCGCCCTAGTTGGGCGACCAACACAACCGATCAAAGACAATCATGTGTTGTGGGTCTCATCAGACCGACTATTGTGATTGTACAGTTTTTTTTGTCGCTTAGCTAGGACGCCGCCTAAGAGTCTATGACACTCTTAGCAAAACAAGTCTTAATAAGTCACAAGTCTTAGCAAAACTCTTAATTGCAGTAGTTTTATACTCAGCTTCCAAATTAAAGGTGTAAATTTTACCACTTTCACACATTTTTAGATGATCTCCAATGTAGGCCTATAGTGTTTGGTCATGGTACACACCATGGTATTCAAAGAAGTTTTCAAGTATGTAAATATGATCATTAGACAAACCTAATATTTTACTGTCCTGGTCCTGTACTACATAACAATGGTATTGCTAATTTACCTTGATCAGACTCGCTGCTATGCTGGAACAAGGTGATACTACTGTCTTGAGGCAGCGGTCATGAACCACGAAGTTGCAAACTGAAACATACAACAATAATGTTAATACATTTTTTTGGAATATCCAATATTTACAATATAATAATTATTATTATAAGTAGTTGCAATTACGTGTACAACAAATTTCTTAGTCTTATGAATAAGGCTGTCTGAAATCCCAATCTTTGTGGACAGTTACTGGTTTTGCTGTAAACCTCCCATTGCAAAAGACTCTTTGCGTCAGTAAGAAGTCGCAGTTTCCAAAAATTTAGTAGGCTAAATAAAATTAAAGATTCTCTAAACATGTAGACCCTAATTTAAGTATGGATAGTATAAAATTATCAAGTGATACGGTACTGATTTAGCAAGCAGAAATAACAATGGGTTATCTATATATTAATAGGCAAGCATGTTTCTTTAAAACCTTTTTTCTCAGCTCATGTGCATCATAGGGGAAATCTACGCATAGGCTACTGTTAAAAAAATATTGTCCTGTAGGTGTGCAGAATCTCTTTATAAATTAAAATAGGCTCAAAAAATAAACACAAAAATGAATTTAAAATAACAAAAAAAATAAAAAACACGGACCATATGGGTTGCCATGTTGGTGACGAAATAACAATGAAATATAAACAGAAAATCAAAACAAATGGAAGAAATTCCAATCACTCACATTTTTTATTTACAGCGTGTGGTGAAAATAGAGAAGTCTGTACATTCAATATTTTTGGTCGAGTTTTGGACCACTGGCCGACCTCTAGTTATAATAAATATGTTAAGAAAACTAAATGTTATAAAAGGAAATAAAATAAAATGTTAATGTGTTAGGTTTAGTTCCCTAACCCCTCTCCTTCAAATGGTTTTAGCCCAGTTCTTTGTGTAACAAGTTTATACAACATAATATGTAAAAATGTTATAAAGATCAAAATGTTTCTATTTCGTGTCCTCTTCCCAGGTACAACAGCTAGTAATAACTAAAGCCTTCTTATTGTTTGAAATTCTGTTGTTATAAACATTGTTTATGTTATAATTCAATAACTGTCATTAGATGGACACTTTAGATTAGATTATATTTACGTGGGGGCTGACACCCAAGTATTTTATGGCAAATATGAGGTTGAATGAATGAAATTATATCTTTATTAGGCCTACTGACTAAGATAAGCTGGTCCTTAAGTCAAAACCATTTAAGGTCCAATGATCCCAGACAGCTAGTTTGCTTTCAAACGGTTGAAAAGCAACTGACTTTTCTCAGCATTGAACTAGCGTATTTACCTTGTAGTATGAGGTAGACTAAGAGATAAAGAACTTTTTGAAAATAAACATCGGTACTTTTATTGAAGAAGTGAACTTTATAGATTCAACTCATTTGAAATTCTACTTCTTAAAGGCTGTTTAGGCCTTATTTTTTCATTAGATAGTTAAACTATGAGATGATTTTTCAATAAAAGACATTTAAATCATAGTTAACAAGATCAAATTGCATTGCACGCTTATTTTAGCAAAAAAAAAAAAAAAATTATGAGTTTTAAAAAGATCTAAACATTTTTCACACTAAATACTTTATATTATTTTCTCAGAGGAAAGGGAATAGGCCTACAGTAGTACACCTCATAAAAGATAAGATAATGACTTGAGCAAAATTTCCTCATAAGAGAATATCACAGAGTAAACTTCTGCAGTATTCTACGAAAATAAACACTACAAAGGTTGCAAAATTACTCGGTTAAATTTTATAAGAGAATAGGTACAGTGTTAAATTTGTAATGCCGTACATATATTATAAATTTTATTTCACATGAGAGTTGGTTTAGTTTTTCTTTCAATATTAACCTACATTTGTAAACCACATGCAATGAACACTTTACATAAGTAAATTATCTTCAATGTACTTTATTACCAATTTAAAAAGGTTTAATGTAGCCTATTGTATTGGTGAAATGATAAACGGTACATTTTTTGTAATATTTTTGAGCCGGAGACAATTACGAAATCGCACATAGTGTTAGAATTTAATTCTTTAAAGTTCAATGTTTTAAAATATTTAAAAAGATTAAACTCATTAAGTTATATTAAAAACTAAAAATTCCAAAAAACTTTAGATTAAATATTTTAAAGTTGTCAAAAAACTGCATATTTTCAAATGTATATTTTTCAACAAAACAGTTTAAATGAGGTTAGAATGTAATTTTCACCCTTTTCTAAAAATAATGTAAAAAATAGGACAATCAATGTTTGGGACATAAAACATCTCTGGATACGGCCATGGTGTAGTAGTTATTATCCGTACAGTATCTAGTGGCAAATGTGCGTAGAGGGGTGGGGGCGTGACCCGACCCCCCTCCTAGTGACGTCACTAGAGATGGATCAATGCTGGGTGGCAGTGGCTGGCGAGGTATAGAACTGAACCTGCTCTGCTACCAACCCCCCTCTCATCTCACAACTAACTGGTGCCAGATAAGACACGAGGAAATATTACATAAATTACCTACATAAATTGTTTACTTCCCCTAAATTAGTTAGATATCGTAGAGGTATTTTGGAAACGTATGTTTAAATAGGACACATTGATGCAGATGATTCGCCAAAATAGTTTAAGAACACTGCTGAAACTAAACTGCTTAGATAAATATAAATAAATGTGTTAATTTAACTCTTGTAACTGAATACGGGAGGTATAAACATAATGATGTTAAATTATTACAAAACATATAAATAAAAAAATATCAAAATTATAGGATTGGTATGGACAAAAATGATTGTGGATAGATTGACTGAATTGAAAAATCATTTCATTTAAGTAATTTAATTTAAGTATTACCGGATAGTTCACAAAGGAAAAACTCCATTCCCTGTTTTTGCCATCCAGTTTAGGAAATTATATCGCTTCCAAAGTAGCTTACAATACACTGAACACGTCTGTTGTAAAAATATATTGTATAAAAAAATAGTAAACTAGTGCAACTGAAACAGCCTTGTAAGCCGAGCAGCTTGAGAGGCAACAGTTATAACTAGTTGCTCCCGCTGACTTGACAAAAAATATGTTGACTTGGCTGATTTAATTTTAGGCATACAAAAAATATCTGCTAATAAATTTATCAATAGGTAGGCCTACTTAATAGATGAAATTGCCAGTGTTGTGTAGTGTGAATATGGATGTGATTTAAGGTATTATAAATTGTAATATGAATATTTTAGTTATTTTATTTTTTCATACCTTCATTAATTGTTTAAGTACTGAAACTTGTGTTCAGTTTTTTTTATTAAATATATAACTAACATAAGCTGTTACTCCAAATCTAATTTGTTTTTCAACTTCATTAAACGTCTGACCAAAACGTGAATTACTGTAATAGGAAATAAACAATAAAATGCTACCAGAATGATCTTTTATGTAAAACCAACACATAAAGCATTAAATTACTGAAGAGAATTTATGGAAAGAATGAATAAAACATCTTTCATAACATCTATTTAATTTTTAATTTCAGAAAGGACTAAAGTGTTTATAGTATGGCCTGGATCTGAGGCTGCTGCATTTTACTCTGTTAGGAACTTCAAGAGTCAAAGATTACAATTTTAACATTTGGGTGAAAAACTTTTTGCTATTAAAATTGTATTAGGTTAGATGTACTAAGAATTTATGAAGATATGTTTGTCATCATCATATCTTTATTAGCCTATTTTAGTATGATTCATAAATAAATACAGGCCTCAGGCCTACTACGGTATTTCTAAACACCATTTGAAAATAAGGTCATAACTTTTGAAAAGTATAAATTTATTATTATGTTAAACATTATTAAAATATATACGTTTATGTTTTGCGTAGGATCAATAACTCTTTAGAAGTCTTAAATGTGGTCTTTTTTAAGTGTATTAACTGAGGAATTAAGTTTCCTTACCACAATTCATACTGGGTGTGGACGTATGATGTTTTTTTTTTAATCCAGTCTAAATAAATTATGATTTAATTCAATTCACCTAAAAAAACTTTGAAAAAACCACTACCGGTACTGATTAAGTAACCAAAATTTCAAGTTTTATTTAATTTTCGTTAAAAATAGAAGGACTGATTTTATACTTTGATACAATGACATTAACATATTTTCCTCATCAATAAAGCAATATTGTCCTATCTTTATCAACATATTTGCATCAATAAGATATTAATTATCAGCGACAATTAAGGATGACAGTAGAGATAGAAAGATAATTTTTAATATCTTTGGAAATAACAAAATAAATATTAAATTTACTGTCTTCTAGAATAAAAAAAAGTTAATTCCCTTTAAACCTATGGGTTGTTTGACCTATTAATCTTCAATTTATTTTAAATGGCCTAGATGTAAGTTCCCATACTAAACAAAATTTAAATTATGCGAGCAACTATTTTTTTGAGCACTCAAATGTTGTAAAAAATGATAGAAGTGATCACGGCCATACCCTAGTAATAAATATAATAACTTGTATGGCATTTTTAATTCTAAATACAGAGATGTCCTTAGAAGGATGGTTGTATCGATTTGCTTGACAGGTAATTTGTCATATAATCTAATATTATATTTAACAATCCAAAATAAGACTACAACTGTAAGTGGGATGCTTTTCCTACACCTCTTCCAAATAAGATATTCATAGTTATAAGTAAAATTACCTCTCCAAGAGAGAATTGTCAAATATAGGCTAGTTCGAATTTAGGGATATATTTGTTTGGATGTAAAAGGATACAGTAATAAAATATTCCCATTTTCACCAAAATGAAAAAGTGAAACAATCACATGAGTAGGCCTCTAAGTCTTACCAGGCCATCTACGGTAATAGCTTCTTTGCTTCTTTCCTTATTTTTTTTTTCTTTTGACAGTAGCATTTTTGTAGTGAACAATCATGAACACTTAAAAGGAATCTGATTCAAACACCTTAAATGTTTGTCAGGATTTGAACCCATCTCTCTTAGTCAAAGGCATTTAATTTCGCTCTTGAACTTAAAGGCTCAGATTTTGGAGACTTTTGTAAAAAATCCCAATTCAAACATTTTAATG